TTAGGGACAGGGTAAAGGACTGTGTTTGTCCTATTCTAGGAAGCTTTTGTAGGTATCTAAGCTCCTTTTGAATGAGTGATTTAATATTCGGACACTTCTTTGTATATCAGGTTCTAATAATTGATTATTTGGTGTGAGAGAATGTATACCACTGATATTTTTATCGTTCTTTGCTTTTGTACCCACCTGCCATGTTGTTTGATGTAACCTGATTACGTAATAATTAATAGAGAGTATTTTCTTCCTGTAGGTAAACCTCGTCCTATTGATGGAGGAAACCAGACTAGTAGTGAAGAGGTCTCTATTTAGATAGCGTGGCAATCACAGTGTAGCGTGGAATTACCTGTTCAAATACACAAAGATTTTTAACCTTCAATATAATATAATCGGAAACATAATGCCTATACAAAATAAGGAAGTGAATATATAACTGAGCCCTATTGTTTTCACATATACTTCGTTTGAAATATTCCCATATTGTAAATTTAGAACAACATATATAAGCGAACAATATTGTTTTCGATTAGATCCTCATCAGGCTTTACTCTAATATACAGTAATATTTATATGCATATACGAAATTATTAAACCAATCAAGGTAGTTTATAAGTCAATGATAACAATGGAAAAGATTATATAATAAGTAAAATGTGAAAAGTACAAATTGATGGTGTGACAACAGGTGCATTAGTTTTTGATAAGCAATAATAATAAAGGTCCAAATCAATGTTACATAATCTGAAATAGGTCAATGATTAGAAAAATATAGAAACTGAGATAACAATTATAAAATTATAAGATGACGTAATAAGAAATGTTCAGATAATTGGACCATGAAACGTATAGTTGAGAGAAAATAAAGTGGTGGGAGGGTGTGAAGAAAAATAATAAACGAAGAGAAAGTTAGAAAAGGAATAAATAAATGAATAAATTCATTTATTACTTAAGGCCAAGGGTGAGAAAAGGGAGTTACAAATTTCTTCTGAACACAAAGACTTGGCTTGTTGGCTCGGATTCCTATAGCTTCTGCTATGTGTAAGAGACGAGATCGAACATCATAAGGAAAACTAGTGGGAATCCGGTAAGTAACCTTGAACGACTTGTTTCTATCCACTACATGACCGCTATCGATCAAGTGTGATAGAACCGAGCTGCGTATTGTTTTGACGTAAAACAATATTGTTCGCTTATATATGTTGTTCTATATATACTTCGTTGTTTGGGGTCAACTCTTAACCAATCAACTTAAGCTGTTACTAGTATACATGAAGTCCAGTATCATTTTTTAGTATTCTATACATCGAAGTCACATCATGTGTTTCCAGTACTATTATACAATTGCATAGTTCACCGTAGCCTTTGAAAAGACATTAATAGCTCAAAAAGCATGTGACATAGTGTCATTTTTAGCTTCATGATAACTCCACTGTTTTTATATGGAATTATGGCCTTCAGTACAAACACGCGTATTAGTTTCATGACTTCGTATTTCCGCGCTTATGCGCCTTGTGTGTACTTGTACGTGTTTGTCTATCACTCATTATTTTATCCAATGTCTGTCTCTCTATCATATTATCCACTGTCTATTTTCAGTTACATTTACGCTTGTAACGAGTAGTATAGCAAGTTTATATAGTCGCTCTGTCCGGTTCGCTTCTCTGCTTCGACTCATTTATTGTCTGTCTGCGGGAACGAGTGTACGAGATTTATGTATACGAAATACATTCTCGTATTTGAATTACTTTTTTCTGGTGTTCTCTTATGCGAATCAGGTCGATATAAACACGATATATTTTTAAGGACTTGGCGTAGTGCCTCAAATCATTTTTAAATAAACGGAATATACCCACTGAGACATAAATTAAAATAAGATTTCTTCAGCGAAGTGTCCTCTCATCTGCGACCTTATTTTCAAAGCTGTACAACTGTGAGGTATAATAAACAAAATCATTAATCAAGGAAATCGATAATTTTTTTATTATTAAGCGCTTAAGTATTCTTCATGAAGGTAAATAGGGAAATAATAACTAGGAATGAGTTGCTCTGCATGACAAGACAAAACGATGAAAATGCGGTAAAATGTAATCAGGAGTATCATAGAGAGAGAAAGGGAGAACTGAACCAATTGGGGTAGAAGGTCTATGGAGAAGATGGAAGGAGAAGCAGATGGCAGTGAAAAAGAAAAAGAGTGATGAAGAAAGAATATTCTGAGACAATAAGACCATGATAGAAAAAGGGGTTTTGCAAATTTCTTCCGGACACACAATTCTGGTTTCCCCAGATGTATAGCTATTACCTCGGCATTGTTGATGTTGTGCAATGTAACTGCTTTTGTCAGCTTTCTGCTCACCTTGTAGATGATTTGCAGCGCGGAGTCTTCTTTGGTCGAGTGAACTGTGTTCGCAATGTTTTCGAGCATTGAGTTTCTTATTGAGCCATTTTCGCCTCCTTTTAGGCACGTCGGGTACTGTTCATAAATCCTTTTGTGTGAAGGAGGCATCAGACGACCTATATACCCGGCTACATATAAGCAGGTTAATTAACATGTACATATAGTTCTTCAGATGAAATAATTTATTCTTAAGATTATTGGTCAACAAAACTCGACTGAAGAACACTGGTCACAACGTTAATGAGAAGAAAGATCTCTGAAAAGACAGAAATTTTCCTCTTCAGGTTGTTTGAAGCTCTATCATCTGTTCACTTGGTGTTCATTTAAAACATTTCCTTTTCAACCAAGGTTATGACTGCTTTAGGCAGTTTTCGCTTTATATTCTTGTCAACAAATATAGAAAAATACTCGTTTTTGATAAGCACTTACCTAAAGAGGGTACGTTCGTCATCTATGACCACGGGACTACAAATTCTTCGTATACACGTAAGAAATGATATTTTTCGGCTTTGCTCTAAAAGGAACGCTCTTCGGAGCGACGTTACGAACAGTGTTCTACAGCCGATCTTTGTTCATCAGTAATCTTGAGAACAAATTGTCTCATCTGACATATCATGAATTAGAACGAAATGGCTGACGCCGTTTAGAATAGGTGTAACACACAAACTAACGAAGTCACTTCATACAGTCACACGCAAACCGAAGGACGAAATAAAATAAAAAATAAAAACTTCATATTCGCTTAAGCGAACATCAAGTAGCGGTTAAACGCCATGACGTATCTTCGCTTTTATATCAATCCATAAAGAAAACTATGAACACACATTCTACTGGGAAAATGTTAAGATCTCGGATAGAGGGAGTTCTAAAAACATTAGGGGATTTTAAGATGCTTGGTGCTCAGATCATTCAGCAATCAACAAACACATTGAAATCGATTTAGTCTTTCGATCAGTCAGACAAATCATGGACAGATGTAGGACCACAAATAGAATCAATGGGAGTTACAGTCAAAATGAAGAAGTAAACAATGGTAGGTTAAAGGTTAACAATAACCAATCAACATCGAGGTCTACGGGACAAGTTGTGAGCCATATGTGGAGAAATTCGAACACTTCATTTCAATCTGAATTTTGTGCGGATGATATCGTTCAGAATAACGATGGAAGCTCCACGACCGGATCACCTAGTTCATAGAACAAAACTCCACTAAACTCATCCACCTGAGCTACAAATCTTCACCGACGTTTTCCTACCTTTTTCAGATACCTTGGTCCCCGTTCAAGGGCATCGGTATTCCAATGCTAATAAACACAGAAGTTCGTCATGTTTAAGCCTGTTTAGTTCTATTCATAATCACTTACACTATTTGTTCTAGGTGTAAAACCGCTCCCTTGGGTTACTCTTGTATAACCAACCTGCTGACTGCGGTGGAAAGATGGACAATCATCCTCGATCGCAAGGGGAATCTCGATATCATTTACCTTGATTTCTCAAAAGCTTTTGATTGTGTTAACCATATATGTCTTATCAATAAGCTCAAAAGATTGGGTATCAAACCACCTCTAATTGATTGGCGCACTTCATACCTGAAAAATCGACATTTTAAGGTCAGGGCTAACTTCACTTTATCTCAGGCTATGGAATGTCCTAGTGGGGTCCTCCAGATCTCAGTACTAGGACCTCTTCTCTTCTTGATCTACATAAATGATCTTCCTCAACTGGTAACTTCAGACCCACTAGTTTTTGCAGACGACGTAAAACTTTGGGGAGAGGTACGAAACCAGGACGATATACAGGCACTTCAGAAGGATCTAACTCGACTTAAAAGTTGGGCAGACGATAACGGACTTACCATTAACACTTCAAAATGTAAAGTACTCCATCTGCAACATGTCTCAGACTACAGTTATAACTTAGGAGACTTGTCTCTAGTAGTATCTCAAGTCGAAAGTATTTAGGAGTCCTGGTGCCCCATGATTTGAAGTCTTACGCCAACTGTGACAAAAATGCCTTTCAAGCAACCTTTGCGCCGAGAATTCTATATTGTACCAAAAATATAATATTGAATAAAGCTGATGATGATAATAGTATCCAACGGCGAGCCACGAAATCAGTTCGTGGATTCAAATTCAAACCTTATGAAGAGCACCTCCAGTAACTTCACCTCTACCCATTAGAGCATAGACGTCTTAGAGGTGACCTTCTGATGGCTTACAGTATCCTTAACACTTCTGGACATCCTCTCAAACACCTACTTGAGCTTAGTTCCAACACTAACCTAAGAGGTAACAACCAAAAACTGGAGACACAACATAGCAGAATGGACTGTAAACACAACTCCTACTCCTTAAGAGTTGTCAAATGCTGGAATTTGCTGCCGACTGAACTGGTCGAAGCGACTTCTCAGGAGTCCTTTAAGAGGCAATTTGATCTATTATTAAGGTCCAAGGATAGTATCATACTATGATTTATCAATTTCTTTTCCTCTTTTATTGTTAGCATACCTAGGCTCCTACCTGGAGGTTTTGGTGATCCTCTGCTACTAGACACGGAAGCCTGTTAAACGAAAGCTTCTTCCATTCCGTCCACAACCATTTGAACCTTTGTACATTTTGGCGCACACACCCCAAAGCGCTACATTCCGCAATCTGGTAGCTCATTCTTTTAGGCCTGTTATTTTCACAAGTGATTCTATCTGCTTTTAATCCCTACTTTATCTGCTTGGACATAGGAATTAGTCATTTGTGATATTTGGTGGGATTGGGTAATTGTTGAAAAATAGTTGGCAATGTGCTGTTTAATCAGTACGTTGCTTTATGTTTTATTATCTACCATATTTAGTAGGATACTTTGTTACTATCCCATTAACAAAACCATTTTGTCCCACAACTCAATACATGCAGTGGATGATTACTTGCGAAACGTAACTGACAGCAATAGTGGATTATTACAAGCTTCTATTGGTTGGTTGGGGAGTATCAGTTTGGATTTAATCTACAATTATAATTGTAGATTAAATAATTATAATTATTTGTCGTAAAATACTGGAAATGTGAACCCCTCAATTTCCATCCTATAACTTGATTAGTATTCTACCTTTTAATGTCCACTTATCGACTTAGAATACGCAGATGACATAGTCCTGTTTGGTGAAGACGCTGATAAAATGCAGAGTCTTTTGGTAGCATTAAGCAACAATGCCAGAATGTTTGGAATGCGCTTCTCTCCCTCGAAATGCAAGTTGTTGCTTCAGGACTGGTCTGCGTCAACACCTGAACTAAGGATAGGGAGTGAAGTAGTGGAGCGCGTTGACAACTTCACTTATCTTGGTAGTCTGATCAGCCCTAATGGATTGGTGTCTGACGAAATCTCAGCACGGATTCGAAAAGCTCGTTTGGCTTTTGCCAACTTACGTCACCTATGGCGAAGGCGAGATATCCGTCTATTAATAAAAGGACGAGTATAGTGCGCGGCAGTCCGTTCTGTTTTAATTTACGGCAGCGAAACATGGCCATTAAGAGTAGAAGATACTCATAAGTTACTACGATTTGATCACAGATACCTTAGAAATATTGTTCGCATCTACTGGGATCACCGGGTAAGTAATAGTGAGGTTGGACGTAGAGTATTAGGGAATGATGGTAAATCAGTTGATGAGGTTATGAATCCTCATCGACTGAGATGGTTGGGCCACGTGTTACGTATGCCTGAACACCAATTACCACGACGTGCAATGCTAACCGGTGTTGGAGATGGTTGGAAGAAAGTTAGGGGCGGCCAAACCAAAACATGGCATCAGTGCTTGAAGTAACTAACTTCTAGTCTGAGCCATGTTGGTAGATGCAGACTACTTAGTTGGGGTTCGCTTGACTTTCGTAACCAATGGTTGGAGACTCTAGGTGGTGTGGCTCAGAATCGATTACAATGGCGTAGGTGTATACACTCTCTGTCTTCCATTAAACTAATAGATTAAAATCGCTTCATATCTTTCTTTGTACGTACTAATTCTTTCTTCCTGTAATATATCCTTATTGCAATCTTTCCTTTATATATTACCACCCCTGAATTAACTACTTTTATGAATCTGGTGTTCATATTGTTGTGTTAATGAGGTATGGCATCTTGGACCGATACATATATGTGCCTGGTCCTACGTTGTAGCTGACTGACTGAATGTAAGCTTCTTGCTAACTAATGGTGCTAGATAGTAAATGCTTTCAATTAAACTTATAAAAAGTTAGACTGTTAATAACACTGGTAATTTCACTTCAGAGAATTTATTTTCAAGAAGGCCTTAAACAGCAAAACATACCTATCGGAATACACATATATTCCGTTACAAGTTAACATTTGTAGGTAGAGATTGATATAGTGACACCTCTTAGTATAACTGTAAAGTGTCTACCGATGTTTGTACTGTATCTCAGAAACCTTTATTCAAAAATTAAAGTTGGCGTTGTGGTTTCATTCCCAGTATGTTTATTCGAAATTTTTGTTTTATGTCCTCATACCTGGAGAGCATGTGACATTGCGTTCCATCCTCGCACTAAGTATTGGAGCGTAAAAAAGAAATTAATCCCTTTCTAACATTTTAGGTGTTTTTAATTTGCAAGGTTTAGACAGATATTGAAGTGCTAGTTATGGACTTAGCTGCTCAACCACTGATATTGTCGAACTTATCATCAAAAGCAGTGACCTTCATTCAGTATATTTTTAAAGAAGACAATGATTTATCCATTATTGGTTCTGTAGAAACTGAGGATTTTATTACCTATCAAAATGCTGACAGTTTGTAACCAAATAATCATTCCTTAAAAATCCGTACTCATCAATTATTAATAAACAATGTCTAACCAGCAAAAATGATCTTTATCTGATAAGCTACCCACTTTTACACACGAATTATTCGACTTTTAGACGCATAATACTAGTTTTACTACCAAAATAGATGATGATCACTCATCCATCAGTTAACTAACTTCTCTTAAGACCTATTCCTGGTCCATTTATCTGATGCAAAAATTAACGTACATTTAAGTGTATTTGCTAAGTTCATGTACGACTATTTTTTTCCTAAGTTTTCAGATCACGGTTACTAAATGGCGTGAAAAGAACTATGGACGCCATTGTTGTTTTGTGTCATTTCTGTGAACAACATGGTCCATCAGTAATAATGTGTACCCAGTCATTTAAACAATCACAATCAAATTTATCTGTAAATAATGTACCCGATGTTACTACTGCCAACGCTAATAATAGTAACAAAGATGTAAACACATATCAAAGAAAATTATCTAATCATGCTCTACAAAGTAGCGATGATGCAATTTTTACTGGGATAGATGTTTCGCCTATCCCTTTACCATCTTCATGTATGTAGTTTTGTTGCTTATGTGTTTTTGTTTTTTCTGCCTGTAATGGGAGGTTTTAAACTTGATATAATTAGCTTGTCACTTCAGGTTGAAGAGTAATAATAAATTTAAATACAATTTTTGTTATGATTACTTGTTTATTTACTAGTGATTTACTATTTTAGTCTATCTCGTCGGTCATGTGTTACGCGTGTCTAATCACCGACTACCTGGACATTCAATGCTGGTTGAGATAGGAATAAGTCCAACGAGAAGTAGGAGTGGGCGAACTAAGACGTAGTAACAATCCATGAATTCATTGGCTGCTGAACTGAACTTTATGAGTACATCCAGACTATCCGGTTGAGGTCTGCACGATGTGGTTTCAGATATTACATGATGTGTATGAAAAGCAGTTATAGTAAGGAAAATGCATGTGTTCTTTCTCTGCCCTTGATTCTCGAGCTTCAATGTTAGTCCGTACTTTTTATTCTTTGAATTTTCCCCTTTCTGAACTTGACGAGTTCTCGTTTGGTTGATGTTCCAACACTTCACGTCAGTACATTGATGGATTACAAGCAAAGCGAGAAACATAGGATGGGACTTATTGTCAACGACTGTTCGAATGTAAACGTGAAAAGCACATTTCGAAAGGGACCAATGTCATGGAATGAGGGAAAGTAGAAAATTATACCTAAGTCAATTATGGAAACTAAATGCAACTGCACCACTGACCAGTTCCGAGTCATATCGCAACGTTGGTGGTTATGATTGTGTAAAACATATTCTTAAACTTTGGTCGTTAAGTGTTTATAGTCATCAGCGAAATTGCTCTTTCTACCGAGCAGCTTATTGTGGTATACCTCGGGATTACTCACTGATGGTCCAGATGTTAGAACAGTGCATCGAAGGTGCCTGTGATCAAATAATTACAGCTTGTGTCTTCTACTTTCATAGGTCATGTTTCATACCCATACAGTAAGACAGTGGTAGTTATTTGTCGTCTAAAGTATTTTTATTCTTCTTGATAACTATATCCCCTTAGTTGACTGTCTTCGTGTGCGTCGTTTACACCCAATGTGCGATCGTATCAAACACTACATTGGATTAGAAATGTTGTGTAGGCTGTCGAGCGATGTATTGCCAAACTATGAAGACACTGACTTTCATATTAACTTGTGTCGGTGGGTGCAGACGTTCTGGTTGAGGTCCTCACAATAATCATACTCAAAGGGTAGTTACCTTAGGTAATGGCATGGCTGAAAACCTTGTTAAATTAGCCTTGATCAATCTTTAGTTTTAATGTTACTTCACTTTTTGTTTGGTTGTCTACTAATGCTTTCATTTTGACTGATCACCTAGCTGATATCAGTTCGTGTTGCAAATCACTTTCGAACTATCCAACTATTTGTTACATATTATTTTATTTTCTGAACAATAGCATCGAGATTCTCAGTGATGTCATCAAACATTACTCAACAGCAACAACAATCACATCCAGCTTGTAAAGCATGCTCATCTATCTTGTTACGTGATGAACTAGGAATAATTAGCTATGATTATTCTGCCAATCTTTCATATATTTCTACGCAGTTTCCAAAAGACACGGATTTAAGTACACATGTTCGAAATGCATGCTTGCGAAGTCTTTCTAGTGAGGTATTCATTCTGTGATTATCTTAATATGATTCTTTTTATGATATTTTATTGTTAATTACTTATTTTTTGTATATTGGAACTGACACCACTTATTAGCTTTAATATTTAAACGATCTATTCGCATGTTTCCATTATTTTTTCTTTACGGTAAAAATGCACATGGAATTAAGTAGTCATATAAATTTCTGTATACTAGGTTATAGGTACACACATGTGATTGTGCATTATACTTCTCTCTAGCTCAAAACTGATTTTTATAATCAATTTTTCAAATGATTAAATTACAACAATACAGTATTCACTAGCATAGAGCAACAAAATTTGTCATAATGTCTTTGGCCTATGTAGTTCATCAAACGTTCTGAGTAACTGGATATCGGTTTAACCAATGAAATAAATATTAACACGGAAAATGAAACGGATCTAAAATAAAGGTGATAAGTATTAATCAAGATATGAGAATTAATTTTTCTTTCGTTGTCCTCTTAGATATAAGACATCCTTTAGTTTGCAGGGTTTTATCCTTAAGCTTTCGTTGTATGTTTAGACTGCATCTTCACTGCAAATGTCGAAACAGTGGTTTGTGAGAATTTCAAGTAAGAAAATGTGTATATTTCATTCTAGATCCTAAGGACACACTTTTATGTGTGGGAAGATTCATATAGCCTATCGTTTTTGCGTATTGTCCTAGTCATGTTGCTTACAAAGTTATTGAAAGGTTTATGACTAGGCTACTCTTACGGGGCGCTATGATGAGATATCCAAGTAATAAATAATTTAGGACTTTTGCTGCCTAAACTATCAAGAACACACCATAAGCATGATCAAATATGTTTTACTCAATACCACAGACTTACAGGAAACGCAGAATGATTATGACTCTAACAAAATGCAATTGCATTATAATACCTCTTACATACGTGGTAAGGATGTTAAGCATACAGATTAATGTAAATATAATCTGACCAATGAGAGTCTATCTGAGCCGCCATTTATCACTAAAAATTTTCCACTTACTACAAGTCTACCAACACCAAAAATATTCATAAATATCGTCCAACTTTCCTTCGGACGTTTTCACTAGTGGAGTAGTAGATTAAGTCCTGTATCGATCCAACCATGATCGTATCTCTAGATTCACAAGTAAACGCACATAAATTACAATTCATTTCTAGGTTATAGACACTCCTTAGTTAAGAGTACGCTGTGATTTCCCTGTCGCTTAGTTCGTAAACTGAATAACTTTTTTTTTGGGGGGGGGTAAATATTGATTGCCACTAAGATCCGGAGTATACTTTTACAATTATTACCCGGCAACCGGTCTGACCTAAAAACGCTCAATAATAAGTAGTTGAAAAAGCGGTGAGATTGTTTTTTTTTGATGGACTTTTGTCCTCGTAGCCAGATGGTTTTGGCTGTGGAACTTTCGTCGTTATTCTGAACGCCATCGTCCGCACAAACTTCAGATTGAAATGAAGTGTCTGAATTTCTCTACACATGGCTCACAACTTGTCCGTAGACCTCGATGTTGATTGGTTCCTGTTAACTCTTAACCTATCATTGTCTACTTCATTTTGACTGTATCTTCTATTGATTTAATATTTGATCCTATATTTGTCCATACTTTATCAACCAATCAGAAAAAAACCATGGGCAAATATAGGACCACAAATAAAATCAACAGGCGATACAGTCAAATGAAGAAGTAAACAATGGTAGGTTAAAGGTTAACAATAACCAATCAACATCGAGGTCTACGGGACAAGTTGTGAGCCATATGTGGAGAAATTCGAACACTTCACTTCAACCTGTAGTTTGTGCGGATGATGTCGTTCAGAATAACGATGGAAGCTCCACGACCGGATCACCTAGTTCATAGAACAAAACTCCACTAAACTCATCCACCTGAGCTTCAAATCTCCACTTGTTTTCTTTCCAAGCCATAAATTTTGGTATTGTAGGACACCCAAAAACAGTAGAGAAGAAGGTTGTCTAATCAATAAATACATAAACCAAGATGTATGTTGTAGGCCATAAATTATTTAAGCACACAACCAAGATACTTATGTGGAAAACACTATATAAAATTGCAATGAAGTCTCCTTTGTCTTAGGTTCCGAATCATCTGAAAACTCGAACTGTTAGGTTATATAATCTAAAAGACCCCAACAAAGCAGTCGTCATGGACTGGCAGATTCGTCTTTACATAGCTATCCTTCATCCCTCGATACTTTGTCAGAATCCGACCATCTTTTTTCACACAGTCCCAGCTTTAGCAGATAATTTTCACCCTAAGAGCAATTGATAATAATTGTAAAGTGTATTCAGGCTGCTAAAGCTGAGGTTTGAAGTTGGTGACACTAATTGAATGTGTTCACCATGGATTACATCGATTAGCAAAAAGATCATAAACAGGATAGTATGCAATTCTGCATTTAAAGTAATCTTACTGATCTCACTGGTCAAATGTATGGCACTTTCAAATGTGTTATAAAGAAGTTTTGTTGGGTTTATATTTAAAAACGCCACAATTTTTACGTTTTATCATTACCTATATTCGAACATTGTAGTGAAATCTAAGCTCCCATTGTTCCATAATCAATAAATCTATCTGTTCAGTATTCGTTCTTAATAATTTTGGATATGTGAAACATTTTCGTCTTGAACTTATAGTACTATTAATATCACACTGTATAATAATGTAATTTTTGTAGGTTTGTCCAGGTCAAGTCGGTGCATTTTACTTTGGTGATGAAATAAATGGTCATGTTTTAAGTTATAATTTCCCTTTGAATGATTCACGTGCGCGTGGTAATCAAAGTCGTTTCAGTATTTTGGTGTTATCATGGGATAAGATATACCTACTAAATATATGGTCATTTTTGGTAAGCCCGATAGTTATTTTGTTTCTCAATGAATTTCCTCTTTCTAATTATCAAATTGTAACATTTAATAAGGTTAGATAGTGACTAGCATTAGAATCGAGAACATGCGTTTCTCTCTATTTGCTACTCGTCATATGGATATACCTGAATCCCAATGTTATTCATAGTGAGACTTGAACTCAGTACATTTCGCCTCAAACGTCAATGCGTTTTCCACTGGGCTACTTACTAAGTCATTCATGTAACTATGATTGGCTAGTTAATTTGATTTTCTGACTTTTGATACTATCAAATATCTTAATTGATATTTTTCAGAGTCAAACTTAATAGTGCTGCATTTTGTTGGACAACTTATATTATTAATAGAAAAAGATTTAAATTATCATATGACAAATTATATCGAAGCTATTTTCATAGGATGCAAATATGGCGATTACGACTGATAAAAATTAAACCGTTTATATCTATAACTGGATAGACTGTATTCTACATGTTTATCTTCCCTATACAATTGATGTGACTTCCCTACCTTAACTAACCATCGCGATAATTTATTTCCCTAGTGTTGTAATGTGAGTCGTTGAAACTTGGTTTATGATGTACATTTGTTCCAGGTTCTCACTGTCTACAACTAACCTACCAAGATTAACAGCTCTGTTGACTGACTTGCTTTTATTCCCTAAAGTTCTACTCATAATTTCAACGTATCCGGTCCTGTATATCAATGACTATTATTGATTAGTACTTGTAATCCACCACCAGCAATCATGTCTCATAGATACAATATTTTACTTACCATTCGAAGACATATTTCCTTGTTAAGTAACTTATTCAACGAACAAATTATTTTTGAAGAGAGAAAAAAAAACGAAGATTGATGTAAAATAATGTGGATTTATTTTATTTCTCTCGGTTCTCATCATCTGCTCACAGCCTATAAAATTTTAAGATCAAAGTTATCACAGAAATTGACATACAGATGAATGTGTATCATGATGTAACGAAGATTCCGATTGAGTTAATGAGATCTTAAAAATATTTTTGTTTCAGGGACAAAAGGAATTTTTGTTTTTTCTTTCTTTAAGATAATAGACGCCCCGAATGCCTTGGTACGGCCGAGAGCGGGGAGAATCAGCTCTCCCTCTCGAAATGTTTTCACATGACCACGTGCATACAACCACTGCCAGGGAAATCCTACTCACTGCCTTCTCGCGACGCGGGTGTTACCTACGAAATTGAGAGGAAGAGCGAATGTCCGTCGCCTTTACCGGGTTGGTGGACACGGAGAGTCCACTTAAGCGAGTTGAAAAATCCTGATTCCAAACCATTTCTTCATATGGGCTCCGGGATCCTGAGAGAAAAAAAAGCCGTATGAACCTATTATTGGTCATCGGCTACCATTGGACTGCATCTTCTTATGTCGCTCCATTGCCTTGTGGATCAGACCTTTAGGTCAAAGGCTTGAGTTGTGGCCTCCTAAGAAAACCACCTATTTCAGTTTGGGCACACGGGCAGTATCCTAGCCCTCACACAAATCGAATTATTTATGTGGCGCATATATATCTGGTGCCTTCTTGTACTTATGTTAATGTGCTTAGATAAATAAAATAAGATAATAAACAGAACTGTGTAGGAAATAAATTTCTTTCTTGAGTTCATTTTCAACAATGTACAAGTGCATATATATATGATAAATGATGGGTAAATGAATACTTATACACATTGATCAAAAGGAATATTCGAAAATCATTTAAAAGTCTCTTCTTCACAGTCATCTAACTCTCAACTCCAGATCACTTTAACATCAGGCTCTAAACATCATAAGTACAATGCAATCATTTATGAATGAACTGAAACATTCCACGAAGATCTCATGCCCTTTTTAGGTGTCTCTATCGATTTGCAAATGTATTTCAAAGAGTATATCCTTAATATGATTAAATCTAGGTCTCAAAATGATATGATTAAACTTAAATATATTCTACAATCAGCTATCGTTCAGAGAAAATTTCCAGGTAAACCTTAGAAGTATATGTACAATCGTTCATCGCTACAACTCACACCCATATAAACTCAAACGCTGTTTTCAGGTCCAAAATATTCTAATTATTCTGACAAGCATAGTCAAATTTGGAAATCTTATCAATTAAACAGATGATCTTGTTCCAACTTCTTTGGAATCACAACATTTTAACTCAACAATACTTAACTGTCCCTATCAGTTCATGAAAGCATGACCAACAAATCAATGCTATTTAATTAAGGAACATATTCAATAGATAGAACTTAGTAAAGAGAACCGAGATATTTTATTAGTCCGTCCAGTGTGGGGAACGTGTATGGTTCTACTCGATCGGCATAGATGCACGAATAAAATGGAAGATTTGTTATTTGATTTTAGTAACTTTTCGAAGCCAGGTAAAAAAAGATAAAGCAGAAATGATCAAAAAGCATATTACAGCGAAGTAACAGTGTTTGCTAATTGCTAATCATTTTTAAATACCTTCTTCAATTCCACATTGTCTCTACCATCCATTAAATGTATAGTGATCGGAATTGTGAATACTTTATTCCTTTTTGATGGAACTTTCTCTGAACTGAATGGTTTGGTCATGGAGACTTCATCGTTATTATGAACGACATCATCAGCACAAACAATTCACTTCTACCTGAATTTTGTGTTGATGATGTCGTCCAGAATAACGACAAAAGCTCCACGACCAAACCATCCAGCTCAGAGAACGAAACTCCATCAAAATCCTAAACTTTCTCGAGTAACTTTACTATCAAGTTTTTTTTTGTGTGTTTTATTTTGATTGGTTGGATCACAGATATCGAATATATCACGTATGGTTTCTCGTCTACGTCTAGCAGCCAATCGTGTATACAGTGATGAGACTTCAGATAATACAACTGCTGCTGTTGTCAATACAATGACTCATTCAAATCCACAGAAGCCGATAGCTCCATTGAGAAGATGTGCTACACCTCCAGCTTCGTTAGCTCCTAATCTTTACAAACAGGCTATTGCAGCAGGTAATGCTGTTACGGCAGGATATGGTTTATACAGTAATGCAACATTAGGAAGAGAAACAAAACAGAAAAGAGCTACCGACTCAGATATGCGTTCACTGGCTGATTTAACAAAAGATGATCAAGTATGTGTGTACATATATATGTCATTTTTAAATTTTTTTAATGTCGTGGTGGTTGCACAGCTTCATTAGTTACAAATAAAAAACGAAAGAGAAATGGTCTTCATCACGAACTACCCAAAAATTGTTGAGTCCCTGTCTGAAAAAAAAATTTTAGAAGCGATTTCCATGGCAATAGATTGGAGATGTCAGATGTTATTACTGAGAATCGGCCGTAAAGGCGCAGATGTATTCACTTCCTATCTGTACTTGAACCTTGAGCTTCAAAATGATCTTATACTTTTTATTTCGCGCATGCATTCATTCTTCTCAAATAATATTCCCCATGAGCAATGTTTTTTTTAATTACCACTACCACTGATATTACTATTTATGCTAATTTATTATTCACGTTGATAATTTCTTGTGTGTTGATGTCGTATGATAACTCGATCTGATATACATATTTTCAAGTTCTATGCTCCTTACTGTTGAGGAGATCTAGAACATTCCTCGAAAAAAGCCCAGAGGGGTCCTGAAAATGCTCTGAAACATTTCACCTTATCAGTATTGAATAGACGTTTCTCAGAAACATCTAGACAGTGAAGAGCTGCGTGTTACATTTCTGATCCTGTTACTACGTTTAGTAGAGTTCCCAGCATCTTCCAGAAGCTGAATGCCGTCTGTTCATAAACTAACCTTCGAGTAAAGCGTCCTTTTCATATTTTGCGTCTTTTCTATCGTGTAGAATTAACCTGGTGTTGTTAGAAGAGCTTAGGAAAACGATTCAGGCGTTCAATCAGATTTGTCTTAATTACGCCTGTTACTCCTCGTGGAGGAGCATAGACCGCCCACCAGCACTCTCCATCCAACCCTGACAACTTAACCAACCGTATATTCCTGTACCGCTTATTATTATTTTCCAAAATTAAGATGAATCATACAAACAAAAGTTCCGTTGTCTATGTTAATAATATTTCTGGCACACAAAATGACTAATTTTCAGGGTTGAGGTACATGAATCTGAAACCAGAAACTATTGTACTTATTAGTTACCTTCATTAATACTGAATGTGAAAATCTGAAGATTTTTCGAAATTCCCATTTCGCCATTTGGTAAATAAAAAAGGAATGAATTGAGCGAAGAAATTTCTTTTCAATTAGTTTTTCATCATGGCTCTACACTAATATATATATATATAATATAATATAATACTCATCGAGTGGATACGTTACGTAATAATTACATAATGACATTTAAATTAACATTCAGTAATTGGAAGAGAGAGGATTATTAATATTCAAGGTTATCAAGAAGTTGCTACGTTGCGTAATGTAAGAAACAAAGAAGGAACAGAATTTTAACAGATGGTCAATAGGATGGTAGTTACGTAAGAATCAAGATATGAATGTTGAGAAGTTATAAGGCTCAAAAGCAACAGAAACAAAATTACAAAAGTTAAAAAAACAAGTGGAAGAATAATAAAAAGTAGTTCTTTCGAAGGAAATCTTAAACTGATGGCCAGGGCAGGGAAAGTGGTTGTAGAAGATGACATTTAATTTGGCAGTATCTTCTACAACCACCCGAAAATAAGAACATCCATTAAAGACAGACTGCCAGAATTCGCCAAATCTATGTGTATCTATCGTTTCAACTGCTCCTGTGGAGCCAGTTACATAGGGCGTACAAGTCGACAGGTCCGTCACCGCATTACAGAACATCATCCAACATGGCTGAGCAAAGGACAGGTGAAAGTGATTAAAAGTTCTATTCTCTCTCACCTGGTTGACACAGGTCATCAAGTCGAATTGAATAAAGCTTTTAAGGTTATCTACAATATCCCATCTAATTTGCCACATGGTTTACGAGTGCGCCTCTTGCACATTGAGGAAGCCATCGCAATCCATGTTCACAAACCTGAACTTTGCATTCAAAAGAAATTCGTACAACCACTTTCCCTGCCCTGGCCATCAGTTTAAGATTTCCTTCGAAAGAACTACTTTTTATAATTCTTCCACTTGTTTTTTTAACTTTTGTAATTTTGTTTCTGTTGCTTTTGAGCCTTATAACTTCTCAACATTCATATCTTGATTCTTACGTAACTACCATCCTATTGACCATCTGTTAAAATTCTGTTCCTTCTTTGTTTCTTACATTACGCAACGTAGCAACTTCTTGATAACCTTGAATATTAATAATCCTCTCTCTTCCAATTACTGAATGTTAATTTAAATGTCATTATGTAATTATTACGTAACGTATCCACTCGATGAGTATTATATATATATATATATATATATATATATATATTAGTGTAGAGCCATGATGAAAAACTAATTGAAAAGAAATTTCTTCGCTCAATTCGTTCCTCCTTTATTTTTCAAAATGTTGTAAAGTGCTACTTAATACAGTCTATTCTCAGAACAAAAAACATGTATGTACGTTTACGTATCTTCGTTTGTGTAACAACTAAATTTAATCAAATTCATTCGTAGATATTCTATCGTCTACATGCTTGGTTCACATGGTTACTTCGTGCCGGTGGTCGTCGATGGAGTATAGTTCCTCCTGCTATTGCGCCTCCAGTTGATGAAGATTCAATTGTATCTCAGGAAGAATATGAAGCTTATATTTCAGCTGGTCTTGAATGTTTAACAACATCTAGTTCAAGAAATGCTGCTGCCGCTGCCAATGCTAACACTTTTAATTTGCCTGGTCATAAACTTGGTCATAGTATGAGTTGTATTAGTCAGTCAAGTGGTTCTACAATATTATCAAAATCGATAAATCATTCAACAACCAATAGTACAAGAGATTCGATTGAAACAGATAATAACAAAAAATTATCGCTATATTTAAACAATATGTCAGTAGAAATGGCGAATTCCACGTGAGCATTCTCGCTTTCTTGATATTTGTAAAAACACGTACTCCAGTAACAGTTTGTACATATAGCGACGTTGAGCGAAAATTGCAGTTTTGTGGTTAAAGTAGAGAGAAAGAGACAGAGGGAGTGGGCTAGTGATGAATATACCACCAAGTAGTCATCGATTCTTTACTTGCCTTCAAGCCACACTTTTTCATTATATTGGTATATTTGTTGCCCAAACCGAAATAGATGAAACAGGGCTTTATATTTAGAATTCGGTAGCTTTGTGATTAGAGTTGTAATTGCGTATATACAAATTTGTCAGTTTACCGTTCTGTTAACTGAGTAACAATTTATAAACTGATTATTAATATGGTGTTAGTTTTGTTGTGATCATAAATTGCTCACTTCTGAATTCGCTTTATTTTCCCGTTCAGATTTTGTTGCCCTAGTGTAGATCGATGAGAATAACAAGGTTGTCTATAGTAATTACATATTGATCGACTACCTTTGATTCGATTTTTTAACATCGTAGTTTATTATGCCCTACTTTTTGAATAGCTTAGTAACAATTAACCAAGATAACGGTCGTTCTATATTTCGAATAGACTGAAGTACTAGATGTGAACTATTAAATTTGAACTCTGGGTAAAAAGCAATGTGCTTACTGTGAAACGTGTACTTGATATTTAACCCGTGTGCTGTGACTTTAAACCCACCTAATTATCACGTGATTCATTCGCCAATCAGAACACGCCTTATACAATTTAAGCACTATGCCAAACCCATGACGTTAGACCGGTATGAACACCCTAGTGTCTTTATTGGTCCTTCTCGTCTAGACATGCCTGTTGAGTCTAGAACACCAATAACAGCTTCTACTATACAAATCATTTATTTCAAACATACTCGGTTTATATACCAGCCAAAAAGACCATATCATACCATGAATAATATAATAACAATTGTACAAGATCAAGCCAAAAAGTGGCTGTGGTTGTGAGAGACTTTAATTGACAACCTGGGTATAAATTAAGAATAGTAGATCGTATAACAATAGTCGATAGGTCAAAATAAAGCTTATAATAAGAGAAACATGAATATACATATTCTAGTTACTCAATAGTTATACAATAAAAATAATATGTATAATATTAGTCCATAAATAGATTTTAGAGGTTATTATTAATTTATTTTTCGTCCGCATATAACGCTTTCAGGCTTTCATTTTTCCAAAACAACCCAATGTAATTCTCACTTAAACACCTGCGCACATACTCATCCCAGTATCGGTTATTTGCAACTAATGTGTTAGCACAGTTTACTTCATTACACTGATTAGGTTGTAAGTCAGATTTTGAGTAACGAATATTAATAAAGCATTAGATAGTATAATTTCAATTAGTCAACATCAAATTTCCTTCATTATAAGTTCTCAAAAAGCATATGGGTCAAACTCAAGGATTTAAGTGAGTAAACTATGCGGATTAGTTCAATGTGAAGTGAGCTTTCATTAAGAATTAATATCAGTTAAGAAACCATTGAAAAAGACCGAGCACTAAACTACTGTTTTATCCTGTTTCGGGCTCCTTAGTAGTGTCCACCTACAATCACGGTTATATCCTAGCGAAGATTAAATTATGTCAGTCAGTAACAACGTAGAACTTCGTATGCGCGTACGTACATCAGTTCAAGTTGTCATACCACATTAGCACACTGATACAATTGTCGATTCAAATCCCATAGTAGTAGAGGTAGTAAAAGTATACGCAGTAATCGAAAAGATTAGAGTGAAATAAATTTGGAGAAAAAAGGGATATGAAGTATTCGGAAGATTAAATTATGGGTAATTTATGAGGGCTATTAATGAACTAATATTATGTATATATTCATATTTCTCTTATTATAAGCTTTATTTTGACCTATCGACTATTGTTATACGATCTACTATTCTTAATTTATACCCAGGTTGTCAATTAAAGTCTCTCACAACCACAGCCACTTTTTGGCTTGATCTTGTACAATTGTTATTATATTATTCATGGTATGATATGGTCTTTTTGGCTGGTATATAAACCGAGTATGTTTGAAATAAATGATTTGTATAGTAGAAGCTGTTATTGGTGTTCTAGACTCAACAGGCATGTCTAGACGAGAAGGACCAATAAAGACACTAGGGTGTTCATACCGGTCTAACGTCATGGGTTTGGCATAGTGCTTAAATTGTATAAGGCGTGTTCTGATTGGCGATCTTACTACGTGATAGTTAATAGGCTACAAGACACGTCAATTAGCGACGGGGATTTTGCGAAAAAAAGAAGTCATAACAAATAGTACCCATCTGAACTGTAGATTTTATCCTTCATATTGACATCATTTAGTTGAAAAATCGAAACACGAAATATCCATCAACAAATATTTATTTATTCCAGTAGTTAAGGGAATGGATTATTCTTGATTTCGTAACTTGTCTAAAAGATATAGTATATTACGAAGAGTTGCATCCGTATTTGTGCACTTAAATATTGACTTCTATTCTTACACATTTCTTTTTCTCGTTTTCGACACTAGGTCTTTCATGATCTTGTCCAGACTATTTACTGTACTTGGTGTCAATCCATTTAGTCGATTAGTTCAGCATATAGCTGTTGGAAATCAGTTGGTTGTACAATCATTAACCGAAGATATACACTCTACACTGACATTGTCTGCATTAGCTAAACTATTACCTAAAGGATGTATTAGACAGGTTTGTTCTGTGTACAGTCTGTTTTTGTTTTGTATGCGTTTCTATTCAATTTCGGATAAGGATACAATGTAACTCACCTACCAACCAAGTATATGTTTATGTATGCGGAACCTTGAACCAAGGTTGTGTGTGTGTTGCTAACATGCATTACATTTGCCTAACCACGTCAAGGTTGAAACCTGAAACTCATTTTATAAAAAGTGTTTCAACCATTCAACCATTGTATTCACATTCTGATATTTATTAATAGGTTGGATGATTAGTTAAAGAATATCCATTAGTGGACCGAGAATTCAAAACAAAACTTCACACAACAATTGAAATAATTTCCCATTTTATCTCTGTTGTTTAATTATTAACTCAATATGTATGTTTATGTGAATTGGAGTGAATGAGTCCAGCTTTGCATTATACAGTGAAGTTCACTTTTGAAAGGGAAATAAATCTTCTAAACTTTTAACTAACTAAACTTGAACGTATTCTGAGTACCCGACATCGGTTTAACAAATGTCAATAAAAATACAGCGAAACAGACAAAAGTCGATTTCTTAGGCATAGTTTTTTACTATACTTGATAGCGGTACTATCTATTCTACTGCATATTTTAGTATCCAGTAGACATCGGTGTCTCTATGATAGTATTGATTACTATTTTCAATATACATGTTGCGTTCTATAGTTGAACATCGTCTATGAGATTGAATCAATAAATCAAAGTTTCAGTTATCAGTTCCTTACTAAGTATTCCGTTAAAATTCAAGATATTATCCATCTCATGTCTATGTTCAACTGACATTTTCAGTGTCCCCAGACGCCTTGGTCTAACCGATAGTGGGGAGAGTTAGCTTTCCCTTTCGAAATGCTCTCACATGGCCACGCGTATATAGCCATGGTCAGGAAAGTATCACTCACTGCCTTCTAGCGGCATTACTGTTGTTTACGAAATTGAGAGGACAAAAAGAGAATATCCGGCGCTTTAACTGGGTTGGTAGACACGGGGAGTCCACCTTGGGGATTTGGAAAATCCTGATTCCAAACTAATGGTGCACATGGGCTCCAGTATTCTGAGGGAACAAATGGCGTAGGGACCCACTGTTGGTCATCGGCTACCATGTTACTGCATCTCCTTATGATGCTCCACTGCATTGTGGATCAGACCTTTAGGTCAAAGGCTCAGGTTGTGGCCCTTTAAGAAAACCACCTACTCCGGTCTGGGCACCCAGGCAGTATCACAGCCCACATACAAATCAAGTAACTTGTGTGGCACATTTGTGTTCGATGCGCCTTTGTACCAATATTTATGTGCTTAAATAAATAAATAAATTTTCAGTAACTTTTCAACTGTCATTCGTATGTATTTATTTCTGGAAGATTAAGATAAATAAGTGTATTTATTAGCTACGTGAGGATACCAGGTTATGTCACTTTTATTATCTGAAACCTTTTACACTTGCTACATCCACGTATGATGCATGAATGAAATGAACGGATTCTAAAACGAAAGTGATCACTGGATAAAATAGTAACCTGTTCACTTCTTTCAATCTTTATTCTTTTAGAAAAGAATATCAATGGTGGGTCAGGCGTCAATATAAGGTCACACGAACTAACTGGGCCGTTGTTTTATCCTTGTTTAAATCGTTATAGGAGCTTTGTACACGCAACTTTACCAGGGCTCTTACCTATGACTTTCAAGCCTCTTGATGATTTATAATGTTTTTAAACCTTTCTGAATTATAACGGAATAATTCATACTTTCAACTACATTCTATTAATTCATGATTTATCACCACAATGATCTGATGCCATCGATGTTGTTATCCGTGTCATTCTAGATATGATAATGTGCTAATCGGGTATGGCAAATAGGATCAACTCACGTCTGTGCTAGTATCTCTATATTGACGTTTGTCTTTCTCTCTGTCTGTTTGAACCTCTCTTCAGTCATAAAACAGCCATCCAGTGCTCCTTAGTTTTCAATTATTCTCCAGGTTTTTGCCAGTTTAGCGGTAATATCTCACTTTAGAAAATTTAATAAAAGGTTGAAATTCTCATTTTCACTCGCCAGTGATAATGATAGTAATGATTTTAATTGTAATAGTAATACTTCTCTTTTAAATGTTTTCTTTACTTTTCAAGGTAATAGCAAGTCATGAATATGTGGCACCATTTCGTTGTAATCTTTTAAGTTTAACAAGTAATTTATTAATGTTAGAAGAAGATGTAAATATGGCTAAAGATGTTCTTTATTTAGCTGTTTATCGTTGTGAATGTAAATCATCATCGTCGTCATCATCTTCATTAAATGAAACAACAATAATCTCTAATGAAAGTAGTGAAGAATCTTTTCTACAATCATATGTCAATTCTGTAAGTATTCCTATCTTGAACATGGATGCTTGAAATTAACCAAATGTTAAAGGTTTTTTTTTTTGTTACTCAACTTTTAGCCACACTCTTCGTATGAAAAGAAATATTTCTTCACCTTACTTGCTTTTATATGTATCAAAGTGTGTATGTGCGTGTGTGTGTGAGAGAGAGAGAGTTAATAAGATAATTACCTAGCTACCTAAACAGTACCAGATAGAGTTTTATTCGAACTGACGACCACTTGTTGGTTAAAAACCGAGTAATTTAACCACTAAACCATTACTTATTAAGCGTAGGTATGAATAAAAAACTTTTTTTCTATATTCATACTAAACAGTCTAAACATAAATATGATATTCCCCTATTCATGGCTAACCCATCGTGCTGCATTATATATATACGTATGACAGTAAGCTTAATTGTAGTTGAGTTGGTAAGCTTTCCTCAATATTTAAGACAACAATGTGTCAATGAATATTAAAACTGTTTATTATTGACTTCTGCCATAATGTGGAACTTCAATGGAAGTAAATATATAACTCAATAACTATGTACAGTTTCATTTAATTAATTTCAATATGTTTTCAATATACTGATGTTGATGTTATAAACGCCTAGCTGAACAATCTACAAGAAGTTGAATGAATGATATTGAGATGATTGAGAAGATTTATAGCTCAGATGGATGGTTTTGATGGAGTTTTGTTCTCTGAGCTAGATGGTTTGGTCGTAGAGCTTTCATCGTTATCGCGAACGACATCATTAACACAAACTTCATGTTGAAGTGAAGAGTTCGAATTTCTCCAATATATGACTCACGTCTTATCCTGTATACCTCGACCTTAATTGGTTCTTGTTAACTCAACCTATCATTTTTTACTTCTTTATTTTTTATCCTATATTTGTCCATAATTTTTGTGATTGGCTTTTAAATTGGATCGATTTTAAATGTACTTGTTAATTGCTGATTGACCTTAGTATCAAACTTCTAAACATTCTTAGAATTCCCTCTATCCAAGATGTCAACATTTTTCCAGTTGAATATGTGTGCACAGTGGATGGTATTTAAAAATTATCATATTTAACTTGGTTACACTGAACCTAGTTACGGCTGTTACTTCCAATGGAGCATAGGCTGCCGAAAAACATTGTCCAACCCACTCTGTCCTGGACCTTCCTATCTACTTCTATCCAATTGCTGTTCATTCCTCTCATGTCCGTCTCCATTTATTGGCGTAATGTGCTCTTTGGTCTCTCTCTCTCCTCCTTTGGCCCTGAGGATTCCAAATAACGGCTTTCCTCAATGTGTGTCCTATCCACTTCTAGCGCTTTCTCCAGATTTCTACTTTCGCTGGGATTTGGTTTGTTCTCCCCTACAGTAGGTTGTTTCTGATATTGTCTGGCCAACCGATTTTGCGTAGACAACTGCTAATAAACACTTGTATCTTTTTGATTATGGCTTTCGTAGTTCTCCAGGTTTCCGCCCCATACAGTAGAATTGTCTTGGCATTTGTATTGAAAATTCTGACTTTCATGTTGGTTGACAGTTGTTTTGAGTTCCAGATGTTCTTTAATTTTTAGATATATTGCTCTTACTTTACCGATCCACTCCTTCACATCCTCTGCCAAGATCCCCTCTGGGCTACTGGCAATCCCAAGCTTGGATAAAGGAGTAGGGTTGGGCATGGGGTTAGTGATCCCATCCCGTAGAAAACTAACTCTCTAAAAAAACGCTAACGGTTACACTGAAACGATGCATTAGTTCTTTTTTATAAGATAATTGAATGTGAGAAAATTATTATTATTATTATTATTATTATTATTATTATTATTATTATTATTATTGGAAAGTATTATTTTACTTACCTAATTAGTAATTCCATAAATATTTAGGTAAATAAACGGTTTTTCTAACGTTTAATAGATATAAATATATCATGTAGTAAATATTTGATAAATCTTGCGGATCGAACGCTATATTCGTTTCCTAAGCTATTCTGTAACCCCCAAGCTAGATCGATGCAGAGACCTGAACACGAGAGAGAAAACGGAAAGTATTCGAGAAGTACTTTATTTCAAGGTTCATTTTTGTACAGAAAATCACGGGTATTTATAGATGTTAACATTTGTTAAATCAACATCATATTTTGGCCAATCCGCTAAAAAAAATATTATGCTACTGACCAATAGTAGCACGGCACGTTGACATTCCAGAAAGCTCCATCATGCTCTGACTGGCTAGGACTCTTCAGCTCCTTTAAGGCCTCTGGAAGATCCGTTGCAGTTCTCGGAAAGTCGACTCAACAATATTAATCTCTTATTTAAAGCAAAGTGTTATCTAGTAACCAATTATAAGTTTATTTGATAAGTTGATAAGCTTTAAGTTGATATATTCTGTATAAAGCGTTAATATTATTATTATATAACTATTTACATCGATTTAAGTAAATTAGTGCAATTTAAACCTTGTCCATTGTTTGAATTATTATATAACGTTTTATGTTTACAACAAGTGTAATATATGTACAACTTTAATTTTTTAATTATACTTAATCTCCCCCTCATACTTATTTTCGTCACAGAACAACATATTAATTAGAAAGTTTCAATTAAGGCTAGGTAATAATAGTATCAAACTGGATAATTGTTCCGTAGTAGATTTGTGGACTGGTCAACAATGAACACCAACTACTGATATCTCAATATTGAATGAGTCAGAAAATCAATCAACATTCTAGAATTCAGAATTCATGAAATGATCTTAGTTAGACGACTTGGAAAATCTGGGAAACATTGTATAGTTGTGTTATAAATGCTCTCGTACGGTTGAGGGTAACGAGACCTTTCCCCCACATAGAAACTCATATGGCTACTGCTAGGAGTACTGTTGGTGAGAGTAAGAGGACGGAAGGTGGATTTCTGGTGCCTAAACCGGGTCGTAGTTTGCAAAGGATCTACCCAGGGGAGTTAGAAAGCCCTGACATCAAACTAATGGTGGACGTGTTCCTAAGTCCTAAAAGTTACCAGTTACCAAGGGATTATATTTCCTGACTTTACTCTAAAGCCTTATGGATTACACCCTTTGGTGAAAGGTTCGTGGAATGGCTCTTTAAAATAATCACTTCGTGGAAGTAAACGTTCCTGCTACTCCCTTTTATTCATGAAAACAATATTCACAATTATTTTATCACAGCCACCTATTATACATTGTGTCACTTATTTGTTCGTTCTAGTATAGACTCCTTTTTTGTAGTGCACGTCTACAACTCCACAACTATAAGTGAAGCTCAAAACAATCAAGTTTCACCATAATGTTCTCCAATTGAAATGATTCCGAATAATCAATCAATTCATTCATTAATTATCGTCACAAAATGGTATTGTATCTGTGTTAGTTTTTTTATTTTAATTCTATATTCTTTTTTTTCTTTAAATTCATTTAATTTATTATTATTTGTTTTACTGTTTTTACTGTGTTTTTTTTGTTTTGTTTTTTATTTTCATTTGAATTAAAGTTAAATTTTAAATTCTGTTCAACAATTCCATCATTTGATTCAGAATTAATTTTATATAAAAAATCATTACCTTGTCGTCATTACTCGACTACTACTACTACTACCACTACTACTACTACTACTACTACTACTACTAATAATAATAATAATAATAATAATAATAATCATCCATTCATTACTACAATTCCTCGTCAATTTCTAACTAATAATAATGGACGTATTACAATATCAAATTATGTACAACAAATTATTAAATTATTTTATATGAATCCACCATTATCAATGGATGTTTATACAATTGCTTTATCTACAATACAACATGAATGGATAAATCGTGCACGTTTATTATATTCATTTAAACGTTGTCAAGTAAGTTGATTACGTTTCGATAATGAATGAAATTTAGGTTTAACCCTAATTGATTAAATTTGTCCAAGTAAAATACATGTACTAAGATTATTTGAACTCTATGTTATCATGTTTATTGGTGGTGGTAGTTGTGGTTGTGGGGCAGACTTACTTACTTACGCATAGGCCGCTCACTACTAGCATTCTCCATCCAACCCTATCCTGAGCAATCCTTTCCAGTTCTTTCCAGTTGTTATTCATCCTTTTCATATCTGATTCTATCTACCGACGTAATGTGTTCTTTGACCTTCCTCTTTTCCACTTCCTTTCAGGATTCCAAGTTAGGGCTTGCCTCGTGATGTAGTTTGACGATTTGCGTAATGTATGTCCTATCCATTTCCATCATCTTTTCTTAATTTCCTCTTCATCTGGAAGCTGGTTTGTTCTCTCCCACAGAAAGCTGTTGCTGATGGTATCCGGCGGAAGGTCTCCATTTTTTCTCCGTTTAAAATGAATCCTCTTTATTTCTACGAATGCATTTGTTTTTTCTTTGTTCTTTTTCTTTATTATTCAAAATTGCCTTAATGATTGTTAGTCGTTAGTGTTGATAGTTGCATCGTCGTTTTACTTTCTTCTCTGTTGCTAGAATCAAATACACAGACAGTTTGCTTAAGTCTACCTTAACAGTAGTCATTCCGATAGTGAATCGATGATTCCTGAGTAACGAAAGCGCTGGACATGTATGCGATAATATGCGCAGTAAATTAACATATTCATTATCATGAATATCCTGTTATAGTCAGTCAGTCAGTCAGTCAGCTACAACGTAGGACCAGGCACATATGTGCATCGGTCCAGGTTGCCATACCTCATTAGCACAGCAAGATGAACACCGGATTCATAAAAGTAGTTAGGTCAGAGGTGGTAATATATAGGAGGATTGCAATAAGGATATAGTATAGGAAGAAAGAATTAGTTCGTAGAAAGAAAGATATGAAGTGATTTTAATCTCTTAGTTTAAGGAAGACAGGGAGTGTATACACCGACGCCATTGTGATCGATTCTGAGCCATGTCACCAAGAGTCTCCAACCATTGGTTACGAAAGTCACGCGGACCCCAACCAAGTAGTCTGCATCTACCAACATGGCTCAGACTAGAAGTTAGTGACTTCAGGCACTGATGCCACGTTTTGGTTTGGCCGCCCCTAACTTTCTTCCAACCATCCCCTACACCGGTTAGCATTGCACGTCGTGGTAATCGGTGTTCAGGCATACGTAACACGTGGCCCAACCATCTCAGTCGATGAAGATTCATAACCTCATCAACTGATTTACCATCATTCCCTAATACCCTGCGTCTAACCTCACTATTACTTACCCGGTGATCCCAGCAGATGCCAGCAATATTTCTAAGGCATCTGTGGTCAAATACTAGTAGCTTACGGGTGTCTTCTACTCTTAAGGGCCATGTTTCGCTGCCGTAAATTAAAACAGAACGGACTGCCGCGCAGTATACTCGTCCTTTTATTGATAGACGGATATCTCGCCTCCGCCAAAGGTGACGTAAGTTGGCAAAAGCCAAACGAGCTTTACGAATCCGTGCTGAGATTTCGTCAGACACCAACCCATTAGGGCTGATCAGACTTCCAAGATAAGTGAAGTTGTCAACGCGTTCGACTACTTCACTCCCTATCCTTAGTTCAGGTGTTGACGCAGACCAGTCCTGAAGCAACAACTTGCATTTAGAGGGAGAGAAGCGCATCCCAAACATTCTGGCATTGTTGCTTAGTGCTACCAGAAGACTCTGCATTTTGTCAGCGTCTTCACCAAACAGGACTATGTCATCTGCGTATTCTAAGTCGATAAGTGGACCTCCTGGAAGGAGATCAATACCCGAGAATTCAGTCGACGAGAGTGTTATTTCCATCAATAGGTCTATGATGAAGTTAAACAAAAATGGAGAAAGTGGGCAGCCTTGACGGACACCACTTGAGGTTGCAAAAGTAGATGACAGTTCGCCATAAGCCCTGACTCGACTAGTAGTGTTCGAGTAAAGAGCCTTCACAAGGTTTATGTACTTCTGAGGTACGCCTTTCAATGACAGACACTGCCACAGAGTCTCGCGGTCTACAGAGTCAAATGCTGCTTTTAAGTCAAGAAAGACCACCATCGTCGGACGCCGATAGTATGCCTGTGTTCTAGAACCTGACGAATGGTGAATATGTGGTCGATGCAGCCACGACCAGGTCTAAAGCCAGCTTGGTTCTCTCGTGTTTGTAGTTCACGAGTCTTAGTTAGGCGTTTGATAATTATCGAGGCCAGTATTTTAGATACTATGTTTGTTAAACTAATCCCTCTGTGGTTGTCACAGGATGATTTTGACCCTTTCTTATATATTGGGACGATAAGTGATTGCGACCAGTCAGATGGGATAACGTCTAATTCCCAGATCTTAGCTAAAATATTAGTCAACCTAATCGCTAAAATTGGACCACCATCCTTAAAGACCTCTGGAGCCAATCCATCTGGACCAGCTGCCCTTCCTCGTTTCAGATTAACTATAGCCTTCTCAACTTCAGCAAGAGTTGGGGGACCTACTTCAATGTTCCATTCACATTGTCTGGGAATGGAGGGTAGTTGTAGAGTAGCTGAAGGCCAGCTGAACTGTTCTCTAAAATGTTCCGCCCATCGTTCTAAACGTCTGGACTGGGAGCAGATGAGAGTATCGTCTTTTTCCGAAATAATCTCACTTACACTTGACTTATTAATTCCAGTTTCTTTTATTAGTCTGTAAAGCTGTCTTGTGTTCCCTATAGTCGCCGCCTTTTCCATCTCTTTTGCTTTCGTTACCCACCACTGCTCACGGTCGTTCCTTAGACTTTTTCTTAACCTAGATCTGATTTGTTTACGCTCTTCATCATGTTCAGAACCTGATGGGACGAGTTTGCGAGAATCCATCAGTGTGACAGACCTTGAAGAAATCCACTGGTTCCTTGTAACTCTGTGGTTTAAGTCACTAATAGATGTCACTGCTGTTTCCACAGCTGATTGTATGCCCTTCCAAGCAACATCTGGGTCAGCCTCGTCTTCACAACTACCTAAGTGTGACCTCAGTTGTTCCTGGAACCTACTTTTGGTTTTCTCGTTACTCAACTCAGTTCTAACGGGTCTTTTTAATGTGGCTTTTTTGCGTCCAGTGAGGCGCAAGCAGATGCGTGCCCGTATTAGGGCATGGTCGGAGTCCAAGCAGGTACTCCAGAATGAGCGACAATCTTCTACCGACCCTCTCCAACGATGACTGATGGCAATATGGTCTATTTGAGTCCATCGTTGGTTTGGTGTAGGGGGTCGCCATGTTAGACGATGTCTCTCCTTATGCTTAAAATTTGTGTTTGCTAAAAATAAACGATTGTCTGAGCATAGCTGCAGCAGACGATCACCATTATCTGTTCGCTGTGTCGGAATACTAAAATATCCACCTAAATGCCTTTCTGTTTGGTTTAAACTGCCTATCTGAGCATTAAAATCACCTGCTACGAGTACTATGTCTGAGCGTTTAGCTTTCTGAAGAAGTTCGGACAGCTTTCTGTAAAATTCATCTTTCACTTCATCTGAGCTGCAGTCAGTGGGAGCGTAGGCAGAAACGACAAAAAGGCAACGACGTGTGTCCCTATCCTTCCGAGTTCTTACGTAGCCGTTCAGCCGAACAGCACATAGACGACTGTTGACGGGGATCCACTCTAGCAGTGCTTGTTCGGCCCTCATGCTTAGTGCTATGCCTACACCTGCCAGTCCACGAGAACTTGCCATCGGGTCACCAGATACACGAAGGGTGTATCTCGTTGGCTCTCCGTTTGCCGAGGTGAGGTCAAGTGAATGACCACACTGGAATCCTGTATGCGTGTTTCGGAGACACAGCACACATCAATGGAAAGAGACTCTAGGGTTTTAGCCAAGGAAGCCTGCTGACCGATTTGACATAGGGTGCGTACGTTGAAGGCTCCAATGTGTAGTTTGGAGCGAGGTTTCAGTAGACCTGGGACAGTGTTTTGCGCACTAGAATCGTTGGCTATGGTGACACTTGAGGTGGAAGCCGAGAGGGGAAATTTAGAGTTGAAAGTCGATGTAGGAGGAATAATAGGAATTGAAGAGGAGGTTGATTATGAATACAGTGGTCTTGAGTGCTGTTAGAAGTATGAGGGCGGTTATCACTTCCCGGTTGCCCACACCGTGGAAGGGTTGTTCTGGAGGTACCTGAAAAGGAAATTGGATTAGAGGTGGTCTTAGTGACCTGAGAGCGTGACCGCAGTGCCCAAGGGACAACTGCTTGAGGTCGGTCACACACGACCTTGTTATGGGTAATTTTTGTGTTAGCTCCGTACTTATTGAGACCTTACCGCCGGAGACGGATATCCGTGGGATAAGGCGAGGTGTGCATTTTTAGGGTCGACCTTTTCTAACCCCACCCCTCCTTGTGGGAAGGCAGCATCGCTGTCATGCTGGTTGTCTGAAGGAAACACCTTACTGCTGTCACACCTCTGTACAGTCAGCAGTACGACTTCGCCTTCGGACCTTGGGTTTGTTGCTTTTAGTCTTACCGCTCTTCAACCGACCTGTCTGACATGGTAGGACCTTGAGGAACGGTTGTTCCAGCCAGTATAGCTCGGTTGCTTCATCACGATAGGCAAGCCCGACCACCACGTCAAGGTAGCAACAACGGTCGAGTCCTGTTATAGGATGTTCAATGATAATAATTCTGTGTTTATATCAAATCTAGTCTTGTTACTTCATGTTTTAATGTACTTCTTCATTGCTAGATTCATGTTTATGTATGATCAGTTAACTATTTAAAGTCCATAATCATTTAACTGTTTAGCTATTTAAGTCATGAGTATAAAACCAAACATTTTTGTGTAGGTTTAGTTGTCGTTTCTAAAACTGTTATTATCTCGGATTATTTTCTGGTCTACACTTGCCATCGCTTCTTGGCCCCCAAATGCTATGGTTCGGCCGAGAGTCGGGAGAGTCCGCTCACCCCCTCGGAATGTTCTCACATGGCCGCGCGTATATAGCCTCTGACAGAGAAGGCTTACTCACTGCCTTCTCGTGGGGGGTGGTGTTGTTTACGAAGTTGAGAGGACGGAAAGCGAATGTCCGGCGGTTTAATCGGGTTGGTGGACATGGAGGGTCCACTTAGGGGAGTTGGAACACCCTGATTCCAAACCAATGGTGCACATGGACTTCAGGATCCTGAGGGAGCAAATGGCGTATGAACCAATCGTTGGTCACCGGCTACCATGTTACTGTATCTTCTTACGATGCTCCACTGCCTTGTGGATCAGACCTTCAGGTCGAAGGCTCCGGGTGCGGCCTCCTAAGTAAACCACCTACTTCGGTTTGGGCACCCGGGCAGTATCACAGCTCTCGCACAAATCAAATGAGATTTGTGTGGCGCATATATGTTTGGTGCCTTCTTGTACCAATATCTATGTGTTAAAATAATAATAGTACCTCCCCTTTCCATCAATAAAGTGAATCACATTGTTTAATTTCGTCTTTCTAAATTAAAAAATATTGTATTGTTTGCATGAATAATGACTACAGAACCATATTGTAGGTACCTAGTCAATCATGATATTGTTACAACCATGTTAGTAGTTTATGGTTTTTATGGAGCTTGTCAAATTTCATAAATCACATCAACAATTTCCCCGAGTCGTTTTATATTAACAAGTCATGCACTCTTTAGTGGCTAATTTCGAGAAGTAACTCCCGGGGTTCTTATGAGAAACTTGAACCGGTGAATTTCAATTATATCGAGTGTTAGTAAGATTGTTGCACACTATAGCCAATCGAATAAATTTGAAAATGTGAATCACTGGATGTAGACTCAGTAATCCAAATGTTAAATGCTCACTGTGCGATGTTTTGTTGTATAGGAGTAGATTGGAAGAAAGCTAGGGGGGCCGGGCCAAAACATGGCACAAGTCCATGAAGTCACTGACAAGTAGACTGAGTCATATTGGTAGGTGTAGACTACTTGGTCGGGGACCGCGAGATGATAGCAACCGATGGTTAGAGACCCTGAATGACATGGTTCAAAATCGTTTGCAATGGCGCAGGTGCATCCACTCTTTGTGTTCTCCCAAATTCTAATCTTCTGAATTGTTCATGTCCCTTTCTTTTTTCTCTTTCCAAATTTATTTCACTGGATTATACTCCTTGAATAACATCTTCAAACCCTAATTTTTCTGATTACAGCTTATAATTTTACTATATCTAGCACTACGGGATTTGAATCGACCACTGCATCTCTGTGCAAATGTGGTGTGACAACTCGAACTGATGTACGTACGTAAGAAGTTCTACGTTGTTACTGACTGACTAACTAAATGCTCGCTGTAAAACCTAAAGGTCCTAGATTAGATCTTCGGTGAATTTGCGAATGTACATTTCTAAGGAGTTCTATAGTGGGGAAAGACATTTGTCTTCAGTTTACTGGTTTTCCCTGATTCTCTAATTCAGGTCACTTCGTGGTTTAATATATCAACGTTTTGGTCCTCATGTTGTTGTTACCTTATTTTTCCATTAAATAACCATCTCTTCCTCCTTTCAATCTTAACTACAGGGATCATCTTTGAGCGGTGAGGAAGCAACTCGTCGTTGGACTAATGTACTCGCTTCAATCAATTGTCAATCAGCGGAAAATGCAGCTGTGGCAAGATTTTGGCAAGGTGCTTTAAGTCAATACTCTCGTAATAATATATGTCACTTACGTAAATGTCCAACCGCTACCAATTCAACGAATACATCAAGACGTGGTTCATTTAGCTCGAGTAATGCCGATTTAAATGCTGCTGTTTTAGCAGCTGCGACAAATTATCAATCGGTTCCATTAAATGATTAATTATCTGTATTGCTTTCATTTTTCTTTCATTTTTTTCTTATCTTTGTTCTTTTATATTTTGTAAATTTTTGTTTACTTGTGTTTTTTTGTTTCTTTTGTTGTGATTGTTAATTCGTTTCAATTTCTCTTCAATATCATCATTATTCAAACGTGAAATTGTAGGTCAGATTCTCTTGTTCCTTTACATCATCACCATCATCATCACAATTATTACTCTGTAAATAAGTTATCTATCTAGTTTTCTTACTCCGGTATAATCCATAATAATAATAATCATGATGATGATGATGGTGCTGTTGCTTATTCGCTTAATGAGATAAAATGTTTATTTACTGTTGGTTCACTAAACCAACTAATTGTACCGGTGTATATACATCTTTATATATCACGCTTTACGAAGTGAAAATATCACTTTCTTACCAATCTGTCATTGTACTAGAAATATTCCCCATATAACTTACATATGATCAATCTGACTAATAGTGATCGCTTATATTTGTATTATCAATATTACTGTATATAATTCACTATGTTATTGATGGATTAGCTGTGATCATCATTTTGGTGATCATTATAAAAAGCAAATGTTATACTTAATCTTCTTTTATTTGGCTTCATATATATATATATATGAGTTATTATTGATTCATGTATTTTTGTTTGATAACAACAACTTTACCAGTGTATATTTCATTCTTCTATAGGTACCATGATGAGATAGATGTGTGATTTCAATATATAAAACATCATCATTTTTATCTTATTTTGAAGCCTTCAAATATAATTTCAAGATTATGTGGTTTTGATTGTCCGTCAAATTTTAATCATTATTACTATATGTACCTTATTTTTCTGTTGATAAACTTGGAACATTTTATTAAATTGAATGTTTGCCATATTTATCACACTTACATCTAGATAATTGCTACTCTAGTCTAGATATTATGTTGTATAACAACAGTAAATTGAGAAAAGTATGCAGTTGACAAGACTAGAAAAATTCATGATCTCATTTTGGGCCGGGTGATTTAGAGGACCTAATTTATTTTGCGAGATCTTGTTACTAAAGGTATGAGGGCGGTTGACCACATCGTGGAAGGGTTCTTCTAGAGGTACCTGAAAAAGGGGTGGTCTTAGTGACCTGAGAGCGTGACTGCAGTGCTCAAGGAACAGCTGCTTGAGGTCGGTCACATACGACCTTTTTATGAGTAATGTTTGTGTTAGCTTGTTGAGACCTTACCGCCATTGGCGTATGTCCGTGGAATAAGGTGAGGTGTGCATTTTTAGGGCCGACTTTTCCTAACCCCACTCTTCTTTTGTGGGAAGGTAGCATCGCTGTTATGCTAGTTGTCTGAAGGAAACACCTTCCTGCTGCTACACCTCTGTACAGTCAGCAGTACAACTTCGCCCTCGAACCTTGGGTTTGCTACTTCTAGCCTTATCGCTCTTCAAACGACCTGTATGTCATGGTAGTACCGTGAGCAACGATTGTTCCAGCCAGTATAGCTCGGTTGGCTTTTAAGCTATTCTCGTAACCCCCAAGCTAGAACTACACAGCCACCTGAACACGAGAGAAAAACGCAAAATATGCGAGAAGCACTTTACTCCAAAGGTTCGTTTTAGCACATAAAATATAGGATTTTTGTAGTATTTTAGATGTCCTTGGGTCTCCCGAAAATTCCGGAATGCTACTAAACATAGTAGCAGTGTAGTAATCAGCCAATCAGAAACTGTACATGGGAATTTTCACTTTCCTAACGTTTCTGGCTAAACTTCAAGTGGAGGCTGATTGGATAAAATGCTTCTTAGTGTTTCTTGAACCTTTCTTGTCTTTTGCGAGAAGTTTTCTGGATTACCCCAACAGCAAGCTCGACTACTGAGTCAAGGTAGCAACAACGATCAGACGTTTGCGTGATAGTTGTGTTGATGATTAGCTCTGGAGACAATAAAAGTAGTGTTCAATTGGATGTTTAAGGTCACGTTCAATTGAGAGGCGATATTTTTCCCTCCACGTAGGCTGTAACATACAACAAACTAGAATTTGATTGATTTACTTGCTCTAGTTGACCGATTTCAACTTGTTAACACTACTAGGAACTGGTTTAAACGTAGCTAACGTGACATCATTAGCAGGTCTAAGAATTTGTTTAGTCATCAATACAAGTGATTAGTTATATAATTAAGTTGGAGTCACGGTATTTATTAAATAACTTTATTTTCCGGATAAACACACAGAATCGTATTGTATAACATGATCATAATCAAGGTCGAGAGAATATCATGTGATTAGTCTAAGTATTGATGAAGCTGTAAATCCATGTGATTAATTTTCGAAAGGGATATTTTTTAGATTAGTGTTAGGGAAGATGCTAATGAGTTCAAGTTCGTAAAATTTGATTCAAACGTAACAGTTGGGTTGACTCCTATCATTTTCTCAAATCTACGACAAATAACGAACTTATTTGAATTCTCATGGTTTAATATGCTGATCCTGTAATTGTCCATTCCAGTTCTACAGTGGTAGCTTAATACATCCAGTTTCCTATCAATAGATCACTGTTTCCAAACTTAGTTCACCAATTCGAGCATGTGTTGCGAGGTAGTAACACTTATTTTCACATACACAGTGCCTCATACCTCAGTATATAAATTCCTGGTTTGGTAAGTAATGGTTCTTCTTTTACATAGCCGACTTGCACTTGTCACACCATGTGGGACAAGGTCTCTAACACACTCAGTCCTGGGCCCTCTTCATTTGTTCCTAAGCGCTTTTCATTCTTTTGATATCAACTTCGAATTACTGGCGCAATGTATCCTTCGGTCTTTCTCTCTTCCTTTCACCATTACGGAATTAATCATGTCCGAACACCTCGATTCCATTATCACTGGCCAAGTAGAACGCTGCAGCGAATTTTGCAATCATTTTTAAACTCTATTTATTTATTCCTTATGGTGATACATATTCACTTCTAACCAAATTCATCATTGTTGAATTGTATCCAATTAGTATCGTTGGTCCATATTATTAAGAAGTCTCAAATTACTGTGAATATATTTGCACTTCTTCATGTAGTTTTATGGTTCCCTGATTGGCGTCAGTTTCTAAGGAAATCCTCACAATCTATCCACGTAACTGCAAAAGTTCCTTCTCACTAGTAACCATCCTTATGTTGATTATCTCAAAGCTTCAGTAGAAATACCAGATCTGTCGTGTAAACCAAATAGGTATCAAAACATTTGGTGAGAGTCACGCTATACCATGGAATTATTGCTAATGAAATGAGTAATACGGTATTCTTACTCAATGATTTGAAGACTTTTGTTTGATATGAGATTTAAAGATCGTGAGCTATATACTGTATAGGGTTGTAAGTGTACACCACTGCTAAAACAAACTAGGACAGGATGACTCCCCAATGCTCTATGACAGGTATCAAGGAAACTATCACCATGCAAACTATTTATTTACATTCACCACATATTGTAATTGGTCTTTTTTTAGGAGTTAGTATTAAAAAAGTGTTTGAGGAAATAAAAATCAAACGCTCGACAGTTTATTTTTTGATGAGTTCGAGTAGTTCCGAGTCCGAATCCGGTCGAATTGGAGGCTTCGCTGAATTTCTTCCGATGACACGTTACATTCCCTTAGATACTTTGATTTATTTTATATAGCTTATTATCCCCTTGCATTTTGTGTTTTTGTAATTACCCTAGTTTTTTTTATAATTTTAACTTATACAAGTGATTCAAGGTATCTGGTTAGTCTTTCCGGTGTTCTGATTGCTAATTTGATGTATGAATTCTACATATATAATCAATTATTGCTGCAAACATTAATTACGTCAGTAAATTCATCATCATTCGCGTAGGCAGTTTCACAATAGACAAACAAACAAAAAATATATTCTTTAAAAGTTGTATGTCTATAAACTAGGATTAATGAGACTGAGCCAAGTAAGTAGTTCTTTACAAAATTCAATTGACTAATTCATTATCATACTGTGTAGTATATAATTTCATTCATTCATCATTTACATAGACTATATATAAATCATATTTCGATTACTTTCGTCGCGGATGCCAATTTATAAATGAATCAAGTCATTATAATCTTCTCAACCAATCAGATTTCAAGAAAATTTTTACTGATTTATGATTGGTTAAATGTGTTGTGATTTGATTGGTTAATACAATAATATATTAAGAATAAATTTGAATGAAATTCAAACTTTCAAAAGTAAAATGAATTATTCATCATATCAAATATGTTTATGCTCATTTCATATAATAAATATTTTAATGGAATATTTTATTAAATATAAATTTAAAATTGAATGTATCATTCATGATATTACTGATTATAAACAACATATTTATTCTATTGATAGTGAATTACATGAAAGGTAAATGAAATATCGATTTTATATTGATTTAATGATTATTGATAAGAGTAATCAAATTTCAGAAGGTTTTTTTTGTGTAGATATTATAGCCATTTCAATAGTTGAGGTCATGAGTCGAATGAAGCTAGACCACCATGGCAAATCTGGAATTACTGGATGGCCGTTTCGTCCTAGTATGAGACTATTCAGCAGTGTACATCCATGATCCCACGCTCGCGAGATCTGAACCCAGGACCTATCGGTATCACGCGCAGATACTTAACCTCTAGACCACTGAGGTATGCAACGGTGTTAATGTCTAACTTCAACCAATCCATAAAATTGAGCGACACATCCAACATTGTCATCAGTGAGATACTATTTCACAACAGACCTGGCTGAACTTCACTGATCATTGCTTCTCGCTAGAACTCCAGGAAATAACTCTTGAAGTCATTCTCTAATAAGCACATGATGATTATTATCAGAAGAGAGGTTTTGTGGAGATCTTAATAATTTTGTAGTGGAACTCATGAGTCAATTGATTTTAGGTTCAATTGACTCATGAATTCGACTATAAAATTACAAACAAGTCAATTCAGGCATTCAACTAGTAAACAGCGCTTTGTAGTCTCGAAAACTAGTTCATCATGAATAATAATGTTTCTCTTACAGTATGTTCTGCAGTGCTTTAGGCTATGATGTGAAATAAAATTTAAAAAAGTAGTTTCTGCGACATGTTTTTCTTTATGATTTTGTTTCCGTTGGTTTTAAGGAAAGTTTTCTGATGAACACTTTAATTTGTTTATTCGGTTGTTGATTAAATCTGTTGAGATTCAGTTTATTTCATCAGATCAACTCTATGAATATCTACTAGGTGAATTCTATTCTGTTATAGCCTTACGATACTTGAAATGAATGGGTAATCATCGTGGTTTTTATTTGATCCCTTCCTTTGAGTAGCCAGGTCTTCAAGAAATTTGTAATAAGCATTGGATTCCAAACGAATTTACTTGTTAAGCAATCACTTTTATATGCATGTATGAAATTATTAAACCAATGAAGACAGTTTATGAATAATGTGATGACAGGTGTACTAGTTGTGATAAAGAAAACTAATAGGAATACGTTAAATAACCTTAAGTGACTTATTTCTGTTTACTACATGACCACTACCGATCAATGTGAAAGACCCGAGCTTCGTATTGTCTTGATAGTGCCTTTTGCTAACCACGAAGGGAGGTGTTCACTAACTTTTTGGACCAGTTGTCTGGTAGTGCGCCCAATATAGCTTTCTCCACAGGACCAGTTGAATTCGTAAATAAACATAGAAGTGGCATAACCAGGTAACTTATCCTTTAGTTAGGAAATCACCATAGATCGTGTCGAGTGCGATAGACCGAGGTTTGCTGCATTAAACGTTCTCTTCACTGCTCTAGCCAATCTATCACGTAGTACATCACCAGCTATATCTCCATTGAATTATAGCTTCATGAAGAGAGGTTTCTTACTAGCAGTTAATGTCACTATTTTCTCGCTTGTTACACTCAACTGTTTCTTGAAGAAACCAAGTGGATAACCAAATTCAATCAACATATTGTGTATGAACTCTAATTTCTTATCAATTGTATCGACTGAACATATCTTAATAGCTCTATGTACCAGACATTTGACTCAATTTCTCTTATAATGAAGAGATATGAAGCTTAAGAAATGTGTATATTGGCTTGATGAACAACGTTTTCTACATTACTGCATATCAGGGTAAAGCTTGATGAGGATCTAATCGAAAGCAATATTGTTCACTTATATCTATGTTGTTCTATATTCATAATTGTATCATTAAGTAATGAATTATTCATTCAAATCAATGAATAATGTAATTCATGTATTACATTGATTTCCTCTTTGATAAATCTAAATAGAGACAGATGAATAAATGTATGACAATAACGCTAAATTCATCAAATGAATTTTCTTATTCTGATGTGTTTATTCTTCTAGCTTTTTTCTGAATGATTTGATTACATACATCAACAGATCAAGTAACCAGGTAATACGAATGAACGTCAATGAAAAGTTCATAGACAACTGACATGATATTTTTAAACAAAGATGGATAGTGGCTAGCACTGGAATGCAGGATGCGGGTTTAGTCTTATTTGCAACTTGTCAGCTGGATTTACCTGCAACACAGAGTTGATGTTCACTCTGGGACTCGAACCTATCACTGTTCGTTCAAACGCCATAGCGTTATTCATTTAGCTACTGAGTCCTGATAGCCACCTGCTTGTGGGAAGATACAAGTAAAATGACACCAAGTGAATTTGATATGATATTTGTTGCAGAGTGAAAAAATTTTTATTTGAGGGGGTTTTGTGTGTGTGTGTGTGTGTGTGGGTGCGATTATTAAGTAGGTGTTGGTTATCATAAACTGGTTATATTTAGGATGCCATTAAAAATTATGACACTCTGGACTACTGTTTCATGATGTAATCCATTATGTTTTTAAACTTCAATTGAATATTCATAGACTACAAATGTACCGGATTAAAATATCTGTTAATATTAGTTTTGATCATCATTCTGTTTGTCGAATTCATTCAAGTTGAAGTTGTATCATTAGATACATGCTCAATATTACTAAAGATTAAACATTTTCTACGAAACCTAAAGACCCTGAGTTCAATTTCTGATGGTGTTGAAGATGAACATTGTCGAGGGATCCAATGTTATGATAAAAAACCTGTGACCTGGTTACCTTCATGTCGGTACAAAACTACAATGAAGTAACTGTACAACACTTATCTCTGTCTCTCTTGTAATGATTTATCAGATAAAATTGCTTTTCTCATATTGTAAAATACCTCAGCTAAGTAATCCTTTATTATTATTATTATTATTATTATTATTATTATTATTATTATTATTATTATTTATGGTAGACTTCATATAGTATGGTTGGGATATTTTTATGAATTATATGTACAACCAGATTCATTATATGGAATAATGTGGATATTTAGTCCATTGAATGATAATTCACAAATTATAAAAACTAATCTTATATGGTCAAAGAAAATTCCAGCAAAATTTCGATTTTATTGTTCTGTAAGTTATTTTATACTCATATTGTTTATATGATGCTAATGTAAGAGGATAATGATATTACGTAATGATCAATGAATGGTGGGACTATAATTTATGGACAACATTTGAGTGAGGGTGTTCACCTAGTAACTAGAACTAAGTGAAGGTTATAAAACAGTGTGAGGAATTAGAATTATGATTTACAGTTGATGATTAAGGTTAGAAATCCGATTTCGGGTTTTCATCACTAAATGACATTAGCCATAATATCAAAACTCTATTTAGCCAAATGGATGAGTGAATCTCGCGCCGAAATCCGAGATCTGTTATCTTATACATGATTGATTCGTCCATAAATTATAGTCTCGCCCAATTAATTGTGAATATATCTCAGTATTTTAACAGGTTCATTGAGGTCAGAATATCTCAATGTTAACAACTTAGACTATGAAGGTGATTGAGACAGGTTTGAATTGAATTCCACACAACGATGTAATTATATCTCACTAATAAATACTAACTAATGAAATCTCAGTCTTGGGTTTCTTTTGCCGACAACCACAAACTACTTAAAATCTCGGACTATTGAGAATGTACATTGAATAGATCTAGATAATGTTGCATTGACATCACCGTAATCTAATTAGCTGATTCTTATACAGCTCATTACATTATAAATTAGGGAGACATTTTATAAGAACTATATTGTATTTATGGACAAAACATTGTAAATTAAACATTTGAATCACGTACTGTATTTTGACCAAATATTACATTTACTCTGAGTATTGTATCATAGTAACTAATTGTCCTAAACATTATCGAAATCGAAAATCGTCTTATTTCGAAATATTTCTTTATATATAACACAGACATGGTCATATTGTAGTGAACGAGAACACACAAAGGAGATCAATCGGATGCATGTGAATATAAAGTTATACGAAGTCAGTCGCGTCGCGGATAGCTCAGTGTTAACGTCTTTGACTGTGAAGCTGTGTGACATGGATTTGAATTTGTCTGGAAGCATCAGTTCCCTCATGATTACAGATACAACTTAGTGACGAGTGCCTAGTAACACGAAATCTAGGTCCAGGATTACCTGTTGGCTAGCTCAAACCACTATCTTGTCTCAACACAGTACATGCAATGTTGACTCACTTAGACTACTGGCCACATTACAATTTGGTCGATAGGATCTGACCTACATGACATTGATCATCACCCAGTGATTAATCAGTCGTAAATTACAGAATCTCTTGGTAAAATCTGATAACCATACAATGAATACTTCATTTGCAAAATGTCAATCAACCTTGACTGTTCCTTCGTTTCCACATTAACCAATCTCTCTATCTTCGTCCTCTCTCTCTCTCTCCCTTCCGATCTTCTTAACCTTCTGCCGCCAGACATATCACTTTTAATTGATGATACATAGTACTGATATCTATCGATATCAATAGCACATATCACAACAATATTAATATTTAAATGAATAATGCCAAATTTTCATTATAAAAACATCAACTATCATTTATAAAGTACATTATTAGATAAGATTGTTTAAGTAATCTATACTGATACCTTAGTGATTTTAATTCTTTTCATTAAAATAGTACATTGTTATTATTATTATTATTCAATGTACTGTTAAATAAGATTCATATTGAATACTTTTACATTCAATGAATCATAATTATTAAGTTATTAGTCTATTTAGAAGAAAATGTGATCTTCATTTTTGTGATAAGGAAGTGATAATTGATGTACTTTTAACAAGAATGAGTCTCAGAAGAAGAAGAAGAAGAAGAAGAAGAAAAGGGGGAGAAAAAGAAGAGGAAGAAGAAAAGAGAAAGAGGAAGAAAAGGGGGAGGGAGAAGAAGTGGAGGAAAGAGAGGAAGAAGAAGAAGAAGAAGTGGAAGAAAAAAGGAAGGAGTAGAGGAAGGAGAAAAAGAAACGAAAAGAAGATAATGAGGGTTTAATTATAGCTACAAGATTTAAAATTATACAAAATCGATAACACTATTTATAGTAATCAGTAGTTTGTTACTCAATATAATGGAATTCAGCTGAGTAAATTTTGACTGAGTAGATGATAGCTTAGTGTCATGATAGTGATAACTCTCTTATAAACAATGTTGATTATAGTTAAGCTCTTTTATTAACTTACTTAACAGACAATGGTATTGGAACAGTAGCAAGTTGTCTATTACTATGTGCTATTATGATCACACTATCATAATTGTATAAACGTGTATGCTTGATCAGTTGTGATAGCCTACGCACATATCTCTTCCTAGCTTAAATGTTAATCGCTTAACTACTGCTTCATGAATCATTCTCTTTCCCTTGTATATTATATGTACTCCAATCCTATTATTAGATTTCACCTAGCTGCCTAGCTGCTTCTTATTCGATCTGACTATTAATTTGCCTTTGTATTTACTCACACACATTCGCCTATCTGCTTCAAATTCGCTTGATGTATTTTTAACTTTGTGATATGTGCTATCCGTTAATAAACTGTATTCGCCGCTTATTAATGCATTCTGGTTTCAAATTTATATAATAACGGTTATCAAAGGTGGTTAATTAACGAAGTTAAGCCACTATATCTTATCATAACATATCAACAGTAGGATATATGTGTATTAAACTAATACGTTCTAAGTAAAATGCAATATGCATTCCACTTTCTACTCCTCCTCATTATACAGAAGATCTGTTTATGTAAATTTAAATTGACATAAAATCCATAGATTACTAAACAATGTTAAACAATTATTACGGTCTATACACTGATGGATTTCTTAAAAACATCTCAACATTGTATTTATTATTAATTGAGGTCTTCATAACCAGTCCGCCATCCGAAGAAAGAAAAAGGGGAGAGAAAGCAGTCTTTTCTGTCTCCGGTTCTCATTTGGAATACATCTGTCCATGCACGACCTTGCAGTTTAGTCCGTCATATGAATTCGGTACGAGGTTGACGATTTTCTCGGCTACTCACTTCATAGTGTCGAATAAGTTCCCACAATGTTCTCATATCCACACTGTCAAATGGTTTCTCATAATCAAGGAAGTTGATGTTTGATCAGGATTTCGATTGTTAAACGATGATCTGTAGTGTCGCGATTTGATCTGGGCACAACTGAACCTTATAGAATCCAACCTGTTGATCTCGAAGCTGAGCATCTACTGAGTCTTTCATCTGGTTCATCATCACTATTGAAAACTTTTCCTGTTACTTATAGTAGCGTGATTTCTCTATAATTTACACATTCTCTCAGATCTCCTTTCTTTGCTATCTTGATGAAGTATCCTTCTTTCCAGTTTGTCTGTGGCACTTAACCCTCCTTCCAAATCTTTCCGAATAAAACGTGGCGTATCTTTGCCATTACTTCTACGTGTGACTTCATTCCTCCACTTGGTATGCTATCAGGTCCTACTGCTTTCTCACTCTTGATTTGTCTAATGTTCATCCTGATTTCTTTGGTTCTTATTAGAGTTACATCCACAGGATGGTCTGTAGGTGCTGCTTCAATGTGCGGTGGATTCAATATAGTTAGTCTATTCAAGAGTTCCTCGAAGTATTCTACCCATCTGTCCCTCTGTCCTTGAATCTCAATGATTGAATTGACTTCTTTCTTTTCCTTGATCGGTCTCTCTGGTTTAATATATTTCCCTACGAGTTTATTCATTATATCGTACAGTTGTCTGATATATATATATATATATATATATATATATATATATATATATATATTCAACTAATCACTGTTTGCTGAGTAGAATAGCTTATGAAACTAAAAGGAGCATAGATTATCCAAATACAAAGTTTAAAAAATTAAGTATACTTCAAACATCATACACGTAATTCAAGTCAATAACAACTAACATTTCAGCATACTAAAAAGTTAGGGAGATATAGGTTAGCAGTTTCCTTATTACTTACGTACTTACGCCTGTTACTCCTCGTGAAGGAGCATAGGCTGCTCACCAGCATTCTCCATCCGACGCTGTTCTGGGCAATCCTTCCAGCTCCTTCCAGTTGTTATTCATCCATTTCATATATGCTTCCTATTGCCGACGTTATGTGTTCTTTGGCCTTCCACTTTTTCACTTCTCTTTAGGATTCCAAGTCAGCGTTTGCATCGTGATGCAGTTTGATGATTTGCGTAATGTATGTCCTATCCATTTCTATCGTTTTTTCTTAATTTCTTCTTCAGCTGGAAGCTGGTTTGTTCTCTCCCACAGAAAGCTGTTGCTGATGGTATCCGGCCAATGGATGTTGAGTATCTTGTGTCAAAAGGTATTTATAAATAATTGTACCTTCTTGATGTTTGTAGTAATAGTTCTCCAAGTTTCAGCTCCATACAGTAGAACTTCCTTGACGTTCGTATTAATGATTGTGACTTTGATATTGGTTGGAAGTTGTTTTGAGTTCCATATGTTCTTCAATTGTAGGAAGTTTCCTTATTAACACAAGCTATTTATCATAATTTGTATTGCAAGTTTTTATCTTTTCTATACTCCATCTATACTATTTCTTCTTTGTTCTTACCTTATTACATATTTAATAATGTGAATTATCGTTAAATCGCCCATCAAATTCACTTGGTGTTGTTTACTTGTATCTTCCTGTTGTTGTCTAGGACTGTAATTGATCTCTCTCTTGTTGACATATGTGAATTCCATACAGACTATCTCGTTATTGCCTTACATCACTTATATCTTGGAAATCTCTTGTTTCATCTATTTATAAAGTTTTACAGTTTATCTATCAATAAGTGCAATGATCAGCTTTTTTTTAATTAAATAATTTATACTACTTAAATTCTATTTTAGTATTGCAATCATATATGGACATCGAAAAAAGGATATATTAATATATTTATCGGTCATCGTCCATTAAACAGAATAATTGAGCAATCTGGTTATATAATTAATATTTATGAATTTCTATTCTCTTTAGATCAACAGAAATGTACTCAATGTAATTCGAATAAATTAATTTCAGGATCAACATATCCACATGAAGTGATAAAAGTAAGTGAAATAATATGGAAATAACTTTTATGATTTCTATGACTATAAAATGTCAATAAAAGGTTCTATGGAAATGGTTTAATATGAAGTACCACGTCAAAGACTAGTGTCAGTTAGAACAAATGTTGAAAACCAAGAGATACTGAGTAGCCATTCCATCCTTGTATGGGGCCCCTTACCAGTGAACAGCCACGACCTTGCCGAGGACTTTCAGCAATCATGGTGGACACTTAACTTATTGACCACCAAGTTGTCATCTGATGGTGTACAATTCCAAGTGTGGTTGTTTTGCAATATTGCATGATGATTGCCTACTAACACTAGTAATATTTATCTCAAATCCAACATGACTGAACCCCACTGTACACTACGTCTTACTATAACACTTGGAATTTATTGAGTTAATCATTAGCAAAACACAAGATCAATGTTATCATAGGGTGTTTTAGAGACTGATGAACATGAAATTTCACAACAAGGACTGGCGTGATTACACACACACACACAACAATAAATGCATGTTATATGAAAGGACCGTTTGAAGGAAAAAAATGTTTTAAAGTGTAGTTTACTTATCTCACTTCATTAATTAATGATCAAACAGTGATTGTTTGTATTTCCCCCAAACTACAATTACTCAGTAAGTAATTTTTTAGTTACAGTTTCTTTCTGTTCAAAATGGGTTTTTCAACGGTAAAGGATTAACTAGTTGGAGACCTGCTTGATAATATCGATTTCAAATAGAGTTTTCGCAGAGTATTCTGCTAATGGAAAACTTGAAATTCAAATTTGTTTTCCTCATATGAGACAGTCTTAATCCTTGTAGTCTTTATTGGTCAACTTTTAATAGTTGAAGGTGATTAGCACGAAGTTCTGAATACCTTAAGTTTCTTACTCTTGGAAAATTTTCAGCGAGAAAGAAACTTGTACATTCTGCCGTGCTTTATTGAAACAGTTAGAACTGTATCACGTATGGTTATTCAGAACGCATGTTAGTATAGTGTGCAACCTCTTCATTGATCATCGATGACCAAGAACTATACTTACTAACTTACTTACGCCTGTTACTCCCAATGGAGCCGCCGACCAGGATTCTTCAACCCACTCTGTACCAGGCCTTCCCTTCTAGTTCCATCCAATTCTTGTTCATTTTTCTCATTTCTCTCTCCGTTTCCCGGCGTAATGTGTTCTTTGGTCTTCCCCTCCTACTTTCGCCTTGACGATTCCACGTGTGGGCTTGTCTTGTGATGCAGTTGGGTGCTTTCCTCAATATGTGTCCTATGCCACTACCAGCACTTCTTCCTGATTTCTCCCTCCTCTGGAATCTGGTTTGTTCTCTCCCACAGTAGGTTGTTGCTGATAGTGTGTGGCCAAAGGATCCGAAGTATTTTGCGTAGACAACTGTTAATAAACACCTGTATGTTCTGGATGATGGCTTTCGTAGTTCTCCAGGTTTCCGCCCCATACAACTGTATAACTGTCTTGACATTTGTAATGAAAATCATGACCTTGGTGTTGGTTGACAGTTTCTTTGAGTTCCTCAGTTGTAAATATGCTGCTCTTGCTTTGCCAATCCGCGCCTTCACATCTGCATCAGATCCACCCTGTTCATCAATGATGCTGCCCAAATATGTAAAGGTTTTTACATCTTCCAAATCTTCTCCATCAATTGTGATTAGATTTGTGCACGCTGTGTAGTCTCGGAGATCGTTGTTTTTCCCTTTGTGTATATTGAGACCTGCTGCTGCTGAGAATGCTGCCACAGTGTTCGTCTTCTCCTGCATTTGTTGTTGCGTTTGCGATAGGAGAGCCAGATCATCTGCGAAATCCAGATCGTCAAGCTGCATTATACCTCTCTACTGTATCCCATGCTTCCCTTCAGATGTTGACGTCTTCATGATCCAGTCGATCACCAGGAGAAAGAGAAAGGGTGAGAGTAAGCAACCTTGCCTGACACCGGTCTTCACTTCAAACGACTTTGTCGATTGTCCTCCATGCACAATTTTGCAGCTAAATCCATCATATGAATTGCGTATGATGTTGACTATCTTCCCAGGCACGCCGTAGTGTCGAAGAAGCTTCCATAGTGTTGTCCTGTTCATGCTATCAAATTCTTTCTCGTAGTCAATGAAGTTGATGTAGAGTGATGAATTCCATTCAATTGATTGTTCCACAATGATCCGTAGAGTTACGATTTGGTCTGTACACGGTCTATCCTTACGGAATCCTGCCTGTTGGTCACGAAGTTAGGCGTCTACGCAGTCCTTCATCCTGTTTAACAATACCCTGTTGAAGACTTTTCCTGGTATTGAGGGAAGAGTAACGCATTTGTAGTTATCACAGTTGCTGAGATTGCCTTTCTTCGGTATTTTGATCAGAAGTCCTTCTTTCCAGTCTTTTGGTACTTGTTCCTCATCCCAAATCTTGCTGAAGAGAATGTGGAGTATTCTTGCAGTTGCCGCTACGTCTGCTTTTAGTGCCTGTGCTGGAAAGTTGTTTGGTCCTGCTGCTTTGCCACTCTTGATTTGTCTGATGGCCATGCTGATTTCTTCAATTGTTGGTGGCCAACATCGGTTGGGAGGTTCGTGTGTGGTGCTTCGATATTGTGTGGGTTCAGTGGGGCTGGTCGATTCAAGAGTTCTTTGAAGTGTTCTACCCACCTGTTTCGTTGTTCTTCAGTGTTGGTGATTACCTCACTTTCCTTGGTTTTCACTGGTCGTCCTGGTTTACGGTGATTTTCAGAGAGTTTCGTTGTTATGTCATACAATTGTCTCACGTTTCCTTCTCTTGCAGCCTTTTCCGTCTTCAATAACTATACAATCAACGTTTAATATTCATAACTTGAATGTACGTACGGTGTGACTATAATTTATGTACAACATTTGAGTGACGATAAATTGACCTTTATAATGTTCACCTGCTAACTAGGACCAAATGAGGGTTATAAATCAGTGTGAGAGATTAGAGTTATGATTTACAGCTGATGTTTGGGGTTAGGAACTAAATATAAAGTTTTAATCACGAACTGACATGAGCTAAAATCGTAAAACACTCTTTAATCAAATGGATGAATGAATTTCGCGCCAAAATCGAAGACATGATATCCTAAATCTAATTAGTTCGTCCATAAATTTTTGTTAGAAATTCGTCACACTATCGTAAGCTGACCAAAGTTATAATTGTAACTCATCGGATACCAACTCAGTGGTCTAAGATTTATAAGCGTTTACCACGAGGATTGAAGGTTCTGAGTTTTATCTTTGATGAGTTCATTTGTCTGAAAACTGTTGAAATGTCTCGTGATAAGATGGAATAGATGTCCAGTGCATCTTACTTTGCAATCGTCGTCAAATTAAAGTCAGTCAATAACATAAAATCACACTACTCTCATCAAACTGGAAGATAATTTGATATACTTTGAGACATTCACATGTAAACCACTTCCTTACAACTTATGATTTTATTGTTAAAACAATTCTTTTTCAAATATACACTGGTTTTTTAGGTTTTAACATACATTAGAAATTATATTACTATTAAACCGATATATTTCAATACAACTCAATATGGATTCCAAATTGAATTTTTTAAAAATTCATTTACTTTTAATCAACTAAAGTCCAAAAACAAAGAAACCAATAATTCTCAGATCGTATCCAATACTAACGGTGAGACATTCAAAGAAATCTGCCCAACAAAAAACGATCAATTCTTTGATTCTTCGAAAAAGTCCAGCGAAATTTCAAAGTTCATTAAACATTCAAAAAATTACCCATTCAATGAAGCAAGTATCAAATGTAATCATCATACTTTATCTATTACTGAAGGAAAATCATCAGTACAATTACTAAAAGACAACAATCAAGAAGTTATTATGAAAAATAATAAATTAAATAACATCAATAAGAATGATACAGATCTTTATTTGAACAAGGAACCGGTCAGTTTGAAATGCATTCCTAAACCTACTGAACTTGAATCTACAACAGTTGATGATTGAAAACAAACTGAAAATCAGATCAAACATGGAATCAAAATTATTTCAAAGTGTAATAATTAGACATAAAGAAGAATTGAGAAACTTTTAGTCAAACGTCCTCATTTCCTTAGTCAATGTCTATGTAGATAATAGTGTTATATCCTAGTAAAGATTACATTACGAGTAACCTCTGAGACCTATTAATTGACGAATATTATCTATACATTCTTATGGTATAACTATTCAATAATTAGATTATATATATTTATATTCCCCTTGTTATAAGCTTTATTTTGACCTATAATTTATTATTGTAAGATTTACGGTTCTTAAACTATGTTCAGTTTATTGACTACTGTCTCCCACGTTCACAGTCACTTTTTGGCTTTATTGTGTACAAATGTTATTTCTTATTTTATGGTGCGTTGCGGTTTGTTTGTTTGGTATATAAACCCAGTATTTCTGAAATAAATTATTCGATTCGCATAAAGGAAGCTGGTATTGTTGTTCTAGACTTAAGTGAACGGGTTAGGCGGACATAGGGCCAATAAGGACGCTAGACTGTTCATACTGGTCGAATGTCATTGGTTTTTGCACAGTGCGAAGATTGTATAGGTCGTATTTTGATTGGTGGGTAAATCAAGTGATAAAAAGCCGAACATAAAATCATGACAAATAGATGATTAATTATTATCATATTCTGTTTTACTAATAATTATGTTTCTCATAATGAACTGTTGATTGATCTTGTATTCCTTCTGTTATATTACTGCTCAATTTCAATTGATTCTTTACACTTCAATTTATTTGTTTGCTTTACTGATTTCTCACAGGTTAAACGTTAAAAGTGATGACTTTTTATGATTAAGATTATTTGGTATCTGGTTTATATTATTGCAAAAAGTATCAGTCAACAATAAATATCAGTTATCGAAACGATGAAATCTATTTTTGTATCTTGAAAATCGAAATAATGCATAAAAATACTTGTGAAGATGTCACAGGTATTCGGAGTTTGACAACGATTTAACCGGTAACACCTTCTGATATGAATCGTACCCACCAAGTGAAATCAAAAGACAGAAGCGAGGAGGTCCGAAGATATATTTGATAGGCTAACGATATATCGAGGATCGTCTGATCTAATCTGGCTAGTGATTGCATGGGTTGTTGAGCACAGCGTTCCCACTTGTGATCTGGTGCGGATGCATGACCGAGCGCCTTCAACTAGGTGAGTCCATTAAAACTAATACGGTCAGCATCCAATGTCGAAGACCTACAGAGCTATTTATTTTAGGGATTTATGTACCGCTACACATGAGCAACCTGTTCCTATCATCTGGATATTTTCAACAAGTTATCTGTTTTCTTATTTGTTTTAACACATCGTTATGATCATTAGTCGCCTAACCTATAGAGGAGTGTTTGTGAAACGTTTAAGACATTTTGTTGCATAAGTTACAGAAAGGTGAATCAGAAATATTGTGATTGTGGCAATATGCATAGAAAAGAATGTACATTATTCAAATGACAATTCCTGAAATGCTAACATTTAATTGGCGATCACTCAATATTTATCGTCAGTGTAGATCAAGAAATAAGGAAAGGAAACTTGTTGAAATACTTTGTGCTGAGAATTCTGCATTGTACCAAAAATGTATTGAATAAAGACCATAATAATATTTAATTCATGAACTAGTTTACTTCATGGATCTTTTAAACACTTCAATGTTGAAAGTAATTGTACCCTTCCATAATATTCTTAAGTTGTTGACCTTTTACAATTTCTTTACATCTATTAAGACTATTGGCCAGATATATATTAGCGAAACAGTCTCGCCTGTAGCTTCAATATATAACCGTCTATTTATTGAGAAATACCACAAACTAGATCGTAAAACTTAGGCAAGTAGTTTTCATTTTTTATATTTTGAAGATATCACGAATATTCAGTACTTGATATCGTTTTTGTTATTAACATTGATTATCGATGACCCTAAAGCCAATCGAACTACAGCTCAGCAACAAAATGTTTTAAAGCTATATTCTGAGGATGGTCGATGTATCGAGAAGTATATGACCTGAACTGTAACTCCCGAGTATGCACTGTCAAAGCATATGTATTAATTTATATATATATATATATATATATATATATATATATATATATATATATATATATGTCTGTGTAGTTGAAGTCATATAAATTGTCACGTACTGTTTTCCAAGTCGCCATACTGAATTCTCCATCCATAATCAAATTTCTGGTAAACTCAACTGAAGTGTGTTTCAGTATTTCGCCAGTCAAAGCATATGTGTATTTCCAGGTGTTTCGGATACTTCGCCTGTTTCCTTCTTTAAATTGCACTTCGATCCTTCCTTAGTAGAAAATATCTTTCGTTTGACAAGTGACCGGTCCATGTTTTTGACGACTAGACAACTTTATATATTACGGGTCTTTTGTACAAAATGTTATGAGAGTTAATGACTGTGCCTGTCGGAGACAGACTTAACCTTTTTTATACATAGATTTAATTCTTTGACAAAACTTTTGTACGCCTCTATATCATGTTCATATTTTTAATTTTTTTTTACCACTTACTACCATATCATGCGCTTTATATCAGCCTTTTACGAAATGGCCACGTTACCTGGACCCTCTAAACCTTAGTTACATTGGTGGTTACCATTTTAATTAATGTTTATTATACTCCTTGTATTTGCTATTATTTTACACGGTAAATCATGGCTCGATTTCCTTATTACACCACAGTCATTTTAATTCTATTTTCGGTTTATTTACATGCCATACGGGTTTGGAAAATACCTAAACGTCCTCGAAAATTCTCCACGAACCCAACCATAGTCTTCGTATATGTTTTTATTCACACATCCAACTGTTACGCTAATCATACCTAAACGAACGTTCAGTGCAACTGTCAATATACGTAAGAACGATGTTATTTAGACTTGACATTGTAACACATCTGAACTATTGTAGTTGTTCTACTTCGATGTCGTACTTCATTTTATGAAGTATTGTTTCCTCGTGGCTGTTATTTAACAGATGATTCCGGTACATCAATCGGCTGTTCAACTACTCGACGATTTACAACCTGTCCAGTTCAATTGATGGTCTGACGACAATATCATCCGCGCGAATCATCAGTTTATGCAGTCGAGCGAATCTCCTGCAAACTGAAAACGATATTGTCGCCTCTATCCCAACACTGACAGAGTTTTTCACGGGTATCATTGACATGAGTCCAGAGTGACACTCTTGGTTTCCTATGTTCTTTTCGATATTTTTCTGTTCACTAACCGAACAAACACGCAACACTCACCGTTTATAATCTTTTAGAGACTTCATCGTGCCACCTTTGCTGTCAATTTGTAGCCTTCAACCCTTACTGACTGTGACAGCAGTCATCGACTTTTCAAACTCTGACTACAAGTTGGTCAATAGCTTCGTACAACGAAATCACGACAACTCTTCACGGTTATACTTCTGTACTTACGGTTAGTCTGTTAGATATAGATATAACTAGAATTCGACACTAATTAATAGCTGTCAACGACACTGTCAACGACACTGCCCCCTGAATGCCCTGGTACGGCCGAGAGTGGGGAGAGTCCGCTCTCCCTCTCGAAATACTCTCACACGGCCACGCGTATACAGCCTCTGCCAGGGAAGTCCTACTCATTGCCTTCTCGTGGCGGGGGTGTTGTTTACGAAAATGAGAGGACGAAAAGCGAATGTCCGGCGCTTTAACCGGATTCCAAACCAATGGTGCACATGGGCTCCAGTATCCTGCGGGAACGAATGGCGTATGAACCAATCGTTGGTCACCGGCTACCATGGGACTGCATCTCCTTACGATGCTCCACTGCCTTGTGGGTTAGACCTTTAGGTCAAAGGCTCGGGGAGTGGCCCCCTAAGATAACCACCTGCTTCGGTTTGGGCACCCGGGCAGTATCACAGCCCACACACAAATGATGAACTCTTTATGTCTATGGAAATTACTTTTGTCGCTTTGAAAAACAAACAATTGATTCAAATTATTATCATTACAATTATTGTCATTATTAATACTAATATTATTATTACTACTATTATTGTCATTATTGTTATTATTATCATTATTATTATTATTTTCCACATTATTCACCCTCTTTTATACTTATACAGCGGCTCGTCTTTGGTGGAATTCCGACTGTATCTAAACGTTCTCGAGTCACTGTCCGGTTGAAAATTGTATGTTACCACCGAATACGAGGACTGAAGCAGATTTTCTGAAACCACGTGCACCATTCAAACTGGCTGCCTTCAACGTTCGCACATTTATGCAGGTCGGACAACAGATAGGGCTGGCTATGTCTTTGGAAAGTCTTAATATCGACGTGTGTTGTCTATCCGAGACCCGTATTCAAGACTCTGGCGAAGTACTACAAATTCGATCTCCATCTGTCGCTTCGAAAAGCTTGTTTTACGTGCGCTTATCCGGGGACCCTGTGGCATCTTCGTCTGGTCTTGCTGGCGTTGGTGTCGCACTAAGCGCTAGAGCTGAGGCAGCACTAGTCGATTGGATCCCCATTAACAGTCGGTTATGTGCTGTTAGATTAGAAAGTTCCATCAAAGTGAGAAGAAATCGGCGTGAGAAACGATGTCTTTTCGTCATCTCCGCCTATGCCCCGACAGATTGCAGCCCGGATGCAATCAAGGATGAGTTTTACCACCAGTTATCAGTTCTTCTCCAGAAAGTGCGTTCGACAGATATTGTAGTACTAGCCGGAGACTTGAATGCTCAGGTCGGGCGTCTAGGCACAGAAGAGAGTCGTTTAGGTGGCCGATGGGGACTCGTTGGTCGCAGGTCAGATAACGGGGACCGTCTACTGCAACTTTGCACAGACCACAACCTGTTTCTGGCTAGCACTAACTTTCGGCACAGTCATCGCCGATGTGCCACCTGGCGTCCTCCCTCTGCATCTCAAGCCTGGACTCAGATTGATCACATCGCGATCAGCTACCGCTGGCGTGGTTGTGTACAAGACTGCCGCTCCTTTTGGAGTACCTATCTGGACTCTGACCATGCCTTGGTCTGCGCCAATCTTGCCTTACTTTTCAGTGGACAACGAAGTGAACGCCATCAACGGATTGATGTTAGCAAGCTGGTTGCAACTTCTGTTGCAAGTAAGTATCGAACCGAGCTAGCCTCTAGGCTAGCTACCACTCCACCGAAAAGTATAGATGAGCATTGGTTGCAATTGCATGACGCCATGAAAATGGCGGGAACAGTCAGTTGTGGGTTTGCGAAACGTCC